TTTCTGCACAGTGGAGAGGCCGCAGCTGGGGCGCAGGGTGTTCAGGGGTAATCGAATCCGAGAAATGCACAGAGCGAAGGTGGGAGGGCAGCAGCTGGGCTCATCCGCACTTCCTTTTCTTTAATGTGATCACAGTCCCCCCTGCTACTATGGCTGTTCAGGCATGGAGAACACGGCTCAGGGGAAATATTCACAAAATAAGAAGGGAAATGAGCAGGGGAGTTAAGGGGGCCGATTCGTGCCATGCTGACCCTGAGCGGCTGGCTGTGCAGAATCCTGGCCGCTTCCTCCTCCCTGCTGGCTGCCTGCTGAGAGCTTTCTGCTCCAGATGAGCCGCTACAGGCACCTCCTGTTAGCACTTGGGGGCCTTGGAATTTCTCTTAAGCTGATTTGAAGAGACCCTGGGAAGTGCCCAGACATTGAGGCCTGGAAACACATTTTGTAAACAGCCTAAAAATTCCTTGTGGAAATGGAAGACTTGGCTCTGACTGAACAAGCCATCAACCATTATTCTCCAAAGAGCCATTTCCTCTCTGTGAGCACCGCAGCCCATTTTGGAGACTTCGTGAATGTGGCCGTGTTATAAATGGGCCACCATCAGAAGGGCCACACGGCCATTGAAGACGGAAGCAGCAGACCAGGAAATGAGGGTGTCTGGCGAAGAGGAAAGTTCATTTCGCTCCGAGAAATTGTCTTCACTGCCTTTGAGGCTGCGATATTTTTAAATGGGCCGAGCAATTTCCAAACCCAAAGCGTGATTAGTAGCTTAATCATGAACAAAGATTGAGCTGATTTAACATTTGTCATTTTATTTTTTTAAAGAAAGATATTTTTATTGCCCTAACCAGTTTGGCTCAGTGGATAGAGCATCGGCCTGCAGACTAAAAGGTCCCAGGTTCGATTCCGGCCAAGGGCATGTACCTTGGTTGCGGGCACATCCCCAGTAGGAGGGGTGCGGGAGGCAGCTGATCGATGTTTCTCTCTTATGGATGCTTCTAACTCTCTATCCTTCTCCCTTCTTCTCTGTTAAATATCAATAAAATATATTTTTTAAAAAGATATTTTTATTGATTTCAGAGAGGAAGGGAGAGGTAGAGAGAGAAAGAAATATCAGTGATGAGAGAATCATTGATCAGCTCCTCCTGCACACCCCACACTGGGGACCAAGCCCACAATCCGGGCATGTGCCCTGATGGGGAATCAAACTGTGACCTCCTGGTTCAGGAGGTTGATGCTTAACCACTGAGCCACACTGGCTGGGCTCAGCTGCCAATTTTGCAAAACATGAAAGCAATATAGGATTATAATTATAGAAAATGATCAGCAGCAATTCTCTATTTGTATTAAAGGTGGGTGGCAGTGGGGTTATTTTTTTTATGTTTTTTGAGTCAGATGTATCTTTTAGACGCTGGTGAAAATGTACGTGGGGCGTTAGAAGGGGCAAACCCAATCCTTTCTCTCTTTCCCTACCAGACACCTACCAAAGAGCACCATACTCATCAGTTCTCAAGGAACCTTAATAAACTTTGAACATGCAAATTTAAATGTTAAGCCTAATTAAACAGATATCACCACCACTTTTCATTTTGTGCGTTAATGGGGACACATACAAGCAATGAGTCTCATGAGCGGAAAAACAGAATTAGCATTTATGGTTTCTAATTAAGTTTTGGCTTCCAAATAGGATGTTTTTACTTTTCACGCAAAGTAGTGAACTTTTAAACTAGAGAAGGGAATAATAAAATTCCCAAATCATTAAAAGGAAATTAATGGGAGTGGCGCCATTTTGCCTTTCACAGCTTCTGATTATATATATATATATATATATATATATATACTTATAATTGATTTTAGAAAGGAAGGGAGAGAAAGAGAGAGATAGAAACATCAATGATGAGAGAGAATCATTGATCAGCTGCCTCCTGCACACGCCACACTGGGGATCAAGCCCACAACCAGGGCATGTGCCCTGACTGGGAACCAAACTGGGAATCAAACCATGACCTCCTGGTTCATAGGCCAATGTTCAACCACTGAGCCACTGCGGCCAGCACTTCTGATTCTTCCCAGCCTATCTAGAGTTCCGTGACCCACAGGAAACGCAAATCCATTTGTGATACAAGAATAAATAACGAATGGGAATGTGCTTTGAAAAAAGGAAATATTTCTCTCAAATATCAGTTGTTTATTATTATTGTTGTTGTTGCTGTTGTCATAATAATACCAGGCCCTTGGGATTGAAAAGAGAGTCTTCATGGACCACGGAATATTAAATGCATAAAGTTAAAAGCATTTATCATCTTCAGTTCTGCCAGGGTCAGGAATATCAGAAGTCAAAGTCTTTAAAAATTGAAGCCAAAAATGTTTCCATGTGGAATGGATGGTTTATGAAATAAAAGGCAAAAGGCACTTGGAGCAGTCGAGTTGCACCTGGCGCGTATATAGCACACCAGACAAAAATAAACCTTTATTTTCCTGCAAATCGCCTGCAACTGCTTAGTTACTACCAAGGGAAGATGTCTCCTATTTTGGTGGCCCTACAGCTTTCTCTCCTTAATTAGAGCCTCCATATTGTCTGGCCATCTGCTCTGGGTTCTACCCAGGTGGTGAGGGAAGGGGTATTTTATGATCTCATCCTTTTAGTGGGAGGATAAATTCCACATTAGTCTCATCACAGCAAAATGTCTTTTGGGAAGACACGTGGACCCTTCATGGTGCTTCCTGTGTCACAGCTAACCACTTCCACTGGCCGCAGAGGTTGTGGGGTTTTCTGTTTGACCATCTCCCGGCCAGCTAGCATGAAATCGTCATATGCAGAACAGATTCTACCTACTCTCTCAACCAATGTCCATGTGTTGTCTCCTATTGATTTGCTGCTGCATAGAAACTTTGAATTTCTCCCTATATAGCTGCCTTCTCTTATGTGGAATCAGTTTAGCTATTAGGTGCAACCTATTTGCATAGCCACCAGCCCAGACTAACCCTTTGACCCCAGCTTCTCATTTTCCACATTCAGTCCAGCACTCTGGTGCACTGTTCACAGAGATCGCCCTCAACAGTTCTCCATCCCTGCACACACATTTCTCCTCCCGTGAAGAGGTGAAGTCTACTTGTCCATCATTGAATCTGGAATGGCCTTATGGCTTGCTTTGACATTGTGCTGTTCTGGGCCTGAGCCTTCTAAGTCCTGTGAGTGTCGGCTTTTGCTCTTTTGGAGCCTACCTGCATGGAGAGAAGTCCAACATATCCCACACCAGAGAGAGGCTGTGAAGACAGGCCGTGGAGGAGACACCACATGGAAAAAGAGGCCACATGAAGAAAACCAATGGCTCAGATATGTGCGTAAGTCAGCTGACACCAAGAGAAAAGAGAGGCCCAGCCAGCCCACCAGACTCCAGTCTTTTGAGCCAGTGCTCAGGAGGTACCAGACATGAGACAGAGACTCTGTTGGGTCCTCCAGGCCAGGCTGGCTGCCCGTGTCTGCACCACGTAGAGCAGAGAAAAGCTACCCCATCAAGATGTGCCTGAGTTCCTGGCCTACAGATTTGTGAGTAATAAAGTGGTTATTGTTGTAAGCCCCTTACAACAACTTTGGGGCTGATACAGAAAAATACTGTGATGATGACTATAATAATGGCCCTGAAAAAACCATGCTACCCTGTGTCTGTGACCCCTTGCAATGTGATATAGCCCTCTCCTGTTTATGTTCCATGTGGTGGAAAGAGAGACAGAGAGAGAAAGCAAGCTTTGTCCTTTTAAGTTCAAATTGCAGATTCATGAGATAAACAAAGGATTTATTTTTTAATTCACTAAATTTGGAGATGGTTTGTTACACAGCAATAGAAAAACATCATCTTACCAACATTCCAGTTGCCATCATTATTTTATTTAGTATATCAATGCCGATGAAAGTTTCTTGGTAAAATTTTTGATATGTTGTAGTATAAAATTTCTGAGTAGAAATAAAAGCCAGTATCTACATTTCTTCCAATAATGTGCCCCTGGAGCAATTTTCTACTGAAAAAAAAAATTTCCTAGTAACCATTATAGTTATATAATGTATGTATTGATTCTTTTTGTTTTTATTGACGAGAGAGGAAAGAGAGAGAGAGAGAGAGAGAGAGAGAGAGAGAGAGAGAGAGAGAGACTGGTTTGTTGTTCCACTTATTTATGCATTTATTGGTTAATTCTTGTATGTGTTTTGACCAAGGATTGAACCCACAACCTTGGTGTATTGGGACAACTCTCTAACCAACCGAACTACCCAGCCAGGGCTATGTATTCTTTAAAAATAAAATTCTTACTCTGATGAATGCATTCAAACTTACATTTATTTCAGGAGTCTTATGAAAGGTCAATAATTGTGCTTTTTTGTGTTCTTGCTAGACAATCTTAGAATTCCAGTTTTTAGGCACTGTTATTGTTACTGGCTTAACAAAGCGGAGTCCCCAGACAGGCAGCCTCGGCATCACCTGGGAACTTGTTAGGTTTGTCCGTTAAAGGACCTCATTCCTGCCCCACAGAACTGACGCAGGGTGGAGCCAGGCAGCATGTGTTTGACAAGCCCCAGCTGATGCTGGTGCACATGAAGGTTGGAGAATCACGGCTGTAAATCGGTTGTAACAGTTTGGCTGCGTGATCACATAGTAATTGTGTTAGTGAATACTAGGTGTTACGCTTGAATAATGGAGTCGAGTTCTAATCCTATATCTTCTTACGCTTGAATTATGGAGTCGAGTCCTAGACCACCTATGTCTTTTTTAAGTCTCTCTCTCCCCGCCCACTCTGGAGTCAGCCGGTTTACCAACAAAGCCCTGCGCTGCAGTGACGGAGAATTAAACATCCCGAGGCGAGAGGTCTGCGCCAATCAGAAGTCAGCCTCGAGCCGCTCGCCCATTCCGGCGGTGTGATTGGTGGATTCCCGGCGGAAGAGCCCGTCCGTAGCTCCGCCCCCACCCGCCAGCGCCAACCAATCGTCGCCCGGCGCTCGAAGGAGCAAAACCGCGCCAGCGATTGAACATGGCGGGCCACGGAGCCGGCGGGTCCCGCGACTCCCGGGGGCGTGCGGACGGGGCGGATGCGGGACCGTCGGAGGCGGGGCTGTGGGAAACGGCGAGAGACTATGAGGAGCAGGTGGAGAGCCAGGAGCTGTTCGAGGACCAGGCGGAGGTGGGGACCCCCGCGAAAGAGAAGGACGCGGGCCTGGTGGCGGAGGCCGAGGCCGTAGCTGCTGGCTGGATGCTGGACTTCCTCTGCCTCTCTCTGTGCCGGGCCTTCCGCGACGGCCGCTCCGAGGACTTCCACCGGGCCCGGGACAGCGCCGAGGGTGAGTGTCGGGCGCGGCCGGCGGCGGCGGCCGAGGCCTGGTCTGCAGCGCTGTCCCCGGCCCCCCTGGGGGGCGGGCGAGGGCGGGGGAGCGGAGAGACCCAGGCTCTGAGCCGTTGGCGGGCATCTCGCATCCGCCTACTATCAGCTTCCCCCGTTTTTCTCTGATTCTGAATTTTTCTGAGAAAAGTGGGGGGAAAATACCTTTAAATTTGATACAGAATTAAATGTGTTAAAATTGTCAACGTGAGAAACATTCAAACCTGTAGAGCAGCGGTTCTCAACCTGTGGGTCGCGACCCCTTTGGCGGTCGAACGACCCTTTCACAGGGGTCGCCTAAGACCATCCTGCATATCAGATATTTACATGACGATTCATAACAGTAGCAACATTACAGTTCTGAAGTAGCAACGAAAATAATGTTATGGTTGGGTCACAACATGAGGAATTGTATTGAAAGGGCCAGAAGGTTGAGAACCACTGCTGTAGAGGATTTTTATGACTTTGTTTGAGCCGAACTGACCATTGCTGGGAAGCAAAATCCAAAGGGATTGGGAAAAAATGCTCTGGAAAATGGCAGGCAGTTCTGCACCTTATGTTGTACATTAGAAGCAAAGGGAAAGAAGTAATTGGTTTACGTGAAATCCATTCGTGAGCGATTAGGGAGGCGGGAGAAAGCGAGGCGGGGAAATTGCTGGGATTGGCCGAAAAGTGAAATGATAGGCACGTGCTTCTTTAATCTGCCCGGCGGGCGAGGATTGTGGTCCGCCCCGGTGCCCAGGGTGCGCCCTGAGGGTCCGGAAAAAAAGGAAAGACACCCTGACCTCCCAAAGGCACGTGGTCTTCGGTGGGAGAAGACAGTGGGCTCGATTAAAGCCAAGGTTGGCTTTTGTCAGGGACGATTGTAGCCTAGGACAAGCCTGCTTTTCGTTAGAAAGTTTCCATTTCAGACCATCCTTCGTGGTTACTTAGGTCCCTTGAGTGTGTGAGGCCGCCACACAGGCCTCCCTGGGCTTGTCATTCGCGAAATGCACAAAATCGCTCCCAGCCCGGTGTCCAGTATCTTTTGTCTTTGTTGGTGCTTTTGTTTGTTTTTCTTTCCGCTCGGGGATTCCTGTGAGGCCGAGCGCCCAGGTGACCTGGGCCTGGGTGTTTTCTGCTAACTTGGGAGCTGTCTACGCCTCATGGGCTTCGGAGTAAAAGTGAGGGCCCCTGAAAGGTGCTGCCTAGACGTGCACGCACAGCCTTTAACTGCTGAACAAAGACCCAGATCCACTGAGAAGACCAGCCTGGCTTTCTTGAACGCCAACAGAAAGATGTGTTACCCGACTGAAGGGGTCCCTTTGCCTGCGCTCACCAAAGCCCCGTGAGACAGGAACAGGAGCCCAAAGAAAGCAAGGGGTTCGTTCTAGAACAGCGGTTCTCAACCTTCCTAAGGCCGCGACCCTTTAATACAGTTCCTCATGTTGGTGTGACCCCCAACCATAAAATTATTTTTGTTGCTACTTCATAACTGTAATGTTGCTACTGTTATGAATCGTAATGTAAATATCTGATATGCAGGATGTATTTTCATTGAACATAATTAAAGCGTAGTGATTAATCACAAAAAGGATATGTAATTATATATGTGTTTTCCGATGGTCTTAGGCAACCCCTGTGAAAGGGTCGTTCGACCCCCAAAGAGGTCGTGACCCACAGGTTGAGAACCGCTGTTCTAGAAGGTGGCGCAAGCCCAGAGACGAGTGAGCTAATTTAATGCTCAGAGACCTGGCTTCTGATGGTTTCCAGGGGATGGGTTCCTTAGGGGGAAACCATTACGCATGGTGACTAAGGGAGCTAGGGTCCTGGCCTGTTTGACTGGCTGACACTAGGGTAGGGGTGGCTGACCAGCCATGGCTTGGATTGGTATGGTTTCACTGCTTTCATGGGCCTGGAGCTGAGCCACAGCTGAGGCCCACCTGTTATCTCCAGTTTGATTGAAACTCTCTGTGGTCAGTGCTTTGTTCCTAAGATTATTTGATACAGACCAGAACCTTATTGTCTTGTGGGTTCGATTCCCAGTCAAGGGCACCCACCTGGGTTGCAGGTTGGATCCCCACCCATCATTGGCCCTGTGGGAGGCAACCAATCAGTGTCTGTCTGTCTGTCTGTCTGTCTGTCTGTCTCTCTCTCTCTCTCTCTCTCTCTCTCTCTCTCTCTCTCTCCCTCTCTCCCCCCTCCCCTCCCTCCTCCCTCTTCTTCTCTCTCTCCCTTCTTCCCACTCCTTCTCCTTCTCTCTCTTCCTCTCTCTCCCTCCCTCCCTCCCTTCCCCCCCCTTCCACTCTCTCTAAAAAATCAATGGAAAAAATATCCTCCCTCCTTGGGTAAAGATTTTAAAAAAAAAAAAAAGAGCCCAGCAAGCATGGCTCAGTGGTTGAGTGTCACATGAACTGGGAGGTCACAGTTCAATTTCCGGTCAGGGCATTTATTTGATATCTGAATGCCCACCCAGGTGTTATGCTAGACAGTGAGTATATACAGTGGTGAGTAAACCATAATCCTGGACCTCAGTGAGTTCATTACCATATAGCAATGAAAAACAAATCACTGAACAACTAAAGTAAAAATGTGGAGGAAACCAAAAAAGATGAGTGTAGAATGCTATGGAAGCATATAACAAAGAAGCATTGCCCTAACCGCTTTGGCTCAATGGATAGAGCGTCGGCCTGCGGACTGAAAGTTTCGGTCCCAGGTTCGATTCCAGTCAAGGGCATGTACCTTGGTTGCAGGCACATCCCCAGTAGGAGGTGTGCAGGAAGCAGCTGAATCGATGTTTCTAACTCTCTATCCCTCTCTCTTCCTCTCTGTAAAAAGTCAATAAAAATATATTTTTTTAAAAAAGAAGCATTAAGACCTAACAGGGCCATTATACTTCACCTGGTGCTTACCTGGTATATATAAAACTCAAAAAGCAGTCCTGCAGCCACTAAGCAGATAAGACAAATACATTTCCTCAATTCTAAAATGCCTTAATATTACACTAAAATTTAAACCAAATTCATTCAATATTTACTGGACATGTACTTCTAGCCAGTATTAGGGACTAATGACTGAATGAGGAGATAGCCAACTGGTCCTTGCCCCTCAGATGGTTTTAGGCACAAATTAAAAAGTTATGCAAGTGACTAATTAAAATTTTAATGAGTCCCACAGTGGATAAGTAAAGCATAGGAGCAAAGTAACAGAAAAACCTAATCTGTCGAGAAGAAAATCAGATCCCTTCTGTATTCGCTTCCCTCCATATTCAGTTTAGTCAACTGTGGTCACTGCAGATATCCTGCATACCATTGCCCTTCTGAACAAGGAAAACCTACTATGATTGAACTTGGCTACCTGCTCTTTTCATACCTGTAACCAACACTTAACTGAAACCTTGACAGAAGTAATATAAAATATTTCCTATAACATTAGGAGTTTTAAAATATAAAATGTTTCCAGATAATGACTAGACACATTTTATAATTTGGGTCTAAATCTCCCTATTCATTAGAGTGCTACATGTGAAAGTAGTTTTAAATATTTATTATTCTACATGTGAAATACTAGCTTTATTTTACAAGTGTTTATTGTTGTAATTTTGTTTTGATACAGTGGGGCCTTGACTTACGAGTTTAATTCGTTCCGTGACGGAGCTCGTAACTCAAATTACTCGTATGTCAAATCAAAAGGTGAACGAATGAGACACGTGATGCTGGGATGATGTGGCGTTCACTGTGACGTTCGCTGCGCCAACTAGCGGTGGGGTATCTGAAGCTGGCTCGTAACCTGAATTTTAGCTCGCAACTCAAAGCAAAAAATCGGCCGAGAGACGGCTCGTATCTCGAAAAACTCATTAGTCAGGACACTCGTAAGTCAAGGCCCCACTATATTTTAAAAATTGCCTACAAATAGCCCTGGCTGTTTTGGCTCAGTGGATAGAGCATCGGCCTGCGAACTGAAGTGTCCCAGGTTCAATTCTGTCAAGGGCACATGCCTGGCTTGCGTGCTTGATCTCTAGTGAGGGACATGCAGAAGGCAGCCAGTCAATGATTCTCTCTCATCATTGATGTTTCTATCTCTCTCCCTCTCCCTTCCTCTCTGAAATAAAAATATATGTAGTTTTAAAAAATTGCCTATAAGTAAAAGTATATAGCTCTAACTTTATGGTAATTTTTGTGTGATGTTTATAACCTTTTTTCTCAATAGACCATATAGGCACTGCTGGGTCAGGGTTGTTTTTTTAGTTTTAATAAAATTCACTTTTTTTCCTTTTTCAGCTATTATTCATGGGTTATCCAGTCTAACATCTCATCAATTGAGAACTATATACATATGCCAGTTTTTGACACGAATTGCATCAGGAAAAGCCCTCGGTAAATATGTATTTTTATCTTATATTGGAAATATTTCAATCTATGTCTAAAGGTAAGACAATGAGAAACAGATGGTGAGCCATCATTTGTTTTTGAGAGTTTGCCCACATGTATTTGTCATATACATATACACACAAGCATATCTAAAGCAAGTAAAAGAGATACAGTCCCCATCTTAGAGTAGTAGCTCTCAAACTTGATACTGCTTCAGAAATATGAGAGAACTTGTTTTAAAAAAAGAAAGAAAGAATGCTGAATCCCCTTCCTCTCCATGAGTTTCTGATTCAGTGGGATGGGTGAGGGGCCCTGGAGTTATGTTTCCTGTAAGTTCCCAGGTGATTCTGATGCTGCTACTGTGGTCCCACACTTCACAGACTCTTCCTTGGAGATTTAATTTAAGTTTGTATGGTAACTTTTGAGGTGACTTTTCCTGTCATGCACACTGTTTTGTTTTTACCAGCACTATGATATTTGAAGCCTCTTACTTGAACTTGATTTCAGCAATTATCTATGTAAGCCGATTTCTAACTATAATATCTCTTGCTTGTCCCCAGAGTTCATTTTAGATTGGAATGGGCATGCCTGATTCAGATTATCAGTAACGGTTGATATTACAACACGGTCATTTAAAGGGCCTTTTGATTATAGTGAAGGTTCTGAGTGTCACATTGAGATGTTTGTATGTAATTTGCTAAGTAGTTACCAGCCACTGTGAGTCTTTGATCAGAAAAACCTGATCAAACTTCTGTTTTAAGAAAGTTTAACAGTAATAAAAATACTATCTCATTAAATATTCACATAAATCCTATGAGATAGTATTTAATGTTCCATTTGTAGGTGAGAAAAAAAGAGGCTTAAAAAGGTGAAATAATGTTTTCAGCACTATACAGGTAATAACAGCGTCTGGAATAAACTCCAAAGTCAAGTTTTTTAACCACTATACAGTGTTTTGCAACAGATTGGATATGGTAATGAGAAAAAGGAATAAAATGGTGACTCCTTAGATCAGCCGTGGGCAAACTACGGCCTGCAGGCCGGATCCGGCCGTTTGAAATGAATAAAACTAAAAAAAAAAAAAAAAGACCGTACCTTTTTCTGTAATGATGTTTACTTTGAATTTATATTAGTTCACACAAACACTCCATCCATGCTTTTGTTCCGGCCCTCTGGTCCAGTTTAAGAACCCATTGTGGCCCTCGAGTCAAAAAGTTTGCCCACCCCTGCCTTAGATTTTAAGTCTTGGTGATTGGAAGAATGTTGGTAGAGAAATAACTTTGTGAAAGATCCTATTTCAAACATCCACAAAATATATAACAAGGATTTCAAGTAGTATATGGTAAAATTAAATATAAAATAAACTAATTTCATGCTCTAGTCTAGAGGTTTGTTATAATACATAATGATTCTTTTGAATTATTTAAGAATTCTGTTACTGCCCTAGCTGGTTTGGCTCAGCGGATAGAGCATCGGCCTGGGGACTGAAGGGTCCCAGGTTCGATTCCGGTCAAGGGCATGTACTTGGGTTTCGGGCACATCCCCAGTGGGGGGCGTGCAAGAGGCAGCTGAATCGATGTTTCTAACTCTCTATCCCTCTCCCTCCCTCTCTGTAAAAAATCAATAAAATATATATTTTTTTAAAAAGAATTCTGTTACTGTGATACCTTATGTAATGTATAGTTTATTTTAGCTCTTAAAATCAGTATTTTAGTAAAGAAAAGCTTTAAATGGTAAACTAATCTAGCTTTTTCCCTTGTTAAAGTTGATTTTTAATAAGGAAATCAACTTGAAAAGTGAGATCACTTCCCTAAACTGGTATATATAAAAGCAATGCCTAAGAGATCATATACACTTGATAAATATTTAAATAAATGAATTTTAAAAATTGACGCAGTGAGGTTCTATTTAGCTTTCTAACTTATTTTTGTTATGGTTTTAAAAGATGCACAGTTTGAAACTGATGAACGAATTACACCCTTGGAATCAGCCCTGATGATTTGGGATTCAATTGAAAAGGAACATGACAAACTTCATGAAGAAATACAGAATTTAATTAAAATTCAGGTATGAGTGTTACTTTCTGTCTATAATTATTATTCTGCTAGAAAATAAAAATATATCTAAAGAAATTAAGAGTCACTCTAATAGAAGTTGGGCAGTAAACCCAGAGGAAAATTTAATGTAATCATTTTCTTTAGAAATTTGACCTTTGGTTTATAGTCTGGACATGAGCTCTGCGAGCTGGGACTTAGAGTCTGCTACATGAGTGTTTATTGCCACACTTTGGAAAATGTGCCACATCTATTTATAGTCCATCAAGCAAATTTGAAAAACTTGTGGTTTGTGCCCTCTCATTCACATATATGTATATGTATATTTTAGAAAGTGTCATTGGATAGTTCAAGGAACAATTTTTAAAAAAAAATATTTTTTTATTGATTTCAGAGAGGAAGGGACAGGGAAAGAGAGATAGAAGCATCAGTGATGAGAGAGAATCACTGATCAGCTGCCTCCTGCATTCCCCACACTGGTGATCAAGCCCACAGCCCAGGCATATGCCCCGAACGGTAATTGAACCATGACCTCCTGGTTCATAGGTCGACACTCAACCACTGAGCCGTGCTGGCCAGTGCCCTCTCAATTTTTATTCAAAGATTATAAATGTGAATAAATTAGAATATTTCATTTTTTAAAAATCAATGGATTTTTGTTATGAAGAGAACATAAAGTTTCAACTCTGTAAAATTTTAGGAGTAACCTATTAAAGAGTGATAAGCCAAAAAAGCCACTCAAAGATATAAGAGCAGGAAAAATGTGTTTTGCTAAGAGGAATTTTGTTAGATGAATAAACTTTTCTACATTTAAAATGTTTTACTGTTGAGTAGGAGAGAAAATCCCACCTTCCCAGGAATTAATTTTGATAGTATAGTGACTGTCAAGTAGAATTAAGACTTGACAAGAATGGGCAAAAAAGACTGCTTCTTTTAAGAATTTCAACCTAGGGCAAAGAGATTTGTCATGCTTTCCAAATTTTGGGAGTGCTCTAGAAGAAACAGGCCTTTGTTAATATACTAGTAAAGTTGAGTGGGTTACCATAAAATATATAGCAAACCTGTAATATATTGCTTACTATTTGCCAGGTGTACTATTCTGAGTACTTTCATATATAACTCTGTAACCTTACAACAATTCTGTGAAATAGATACTATTTTTTCTACCCTTTTACATATAAGGAAAATGAAGCAGCGCCAAGAGGTTAAATAATTTGCCCAAGTTTACAAAGCTACTTAGATAGTAATGGTGGTCCCATATCTTATCACATATGGTATCAAAAAAGGCCAGTTTATAAAATGATTATTAAAAGCATCTAGTTTCCTAGGTTTCTATTAGAGATTTTTCAGGCATCCTCTCTAGCAGATTTTATATTAACTAATGATCATAAATGCCACTGTTTCCCCACATTTTTTGTTCAAAATATTTAAGTGGATTGTAAATGTACATAACATAGCTTCTAAGTTATTAATACCTGCCTTTAATTTGGCCTGAATTCAAAAATGATAGAATGTTGCATGTTTATTAGCATACTAAAAAGCCCAGTGCACAAATTTGTGCACCAGTGGGGTCCCTCGGCCTGGCCTGCAGGGATCGGGCTGAAGCCGGCTCTCCAACATCCCCTGAGGGATCCTGGATTGCAAGAGGGCGCAGCCAGGCTAAGGGACCCCACCGGTGCACGATCGGGACTGGGGAAGGATGCGAGAGGTTGACCAGTGGGGGAGGGACTATGGGAGGGCTCCAGGGCGTGCCTGGCCCATCTCACTCAGTCTTGATCAGCTGGACCCCAACAGCAAGCTAACCTACCGTTCGGAGCGTCTGTCCTCTGGTGGTCAGTGCACATCATAGCGACTGGTCTTCCAGTCAACTATCTGCCTCCCTGGTGGTCAGTGCATGTCATAGTGAGAGGTTGAGCAGCCTTAGCATATCATTAGCATGTTACACTTTTATTGGTTGAATGGCTGACCTGTTGACCGGTGACTTAGCATATTAGGCTTTTAGTATATAGTATATGAAGTTTTTTCATGTCTTTTCAAACCACAGTTATTTTATCTTTGAAAAAGTATTTTATATAATTTATCAAATCAAAATTATTAAACTCCAAAAAATAATATTGTTAAACTACATAAAAATATTTTAAATGAAGTAGCTCAGACTTCTCTGAGTTATTTCAATATTAAACAACAATTATTTTACAAAGCAGTCTTAAGTATGTATTTGTCTTTTTTTAGGCTATAGCTGTTTGTATGGAAAGTGGCAATTTTAAGGAAGCAGAAGAAGTCTTTGAAAGAATATTTGGTGACTCAGATTCTGATACGGTAATTGTTTAAATTAGAATCAGAATTGTAGAACTGTTTATATGGCATGAGGGAAATGGGGGGAGTACATGGAAGGAGAAAGGAATGATGAACAGTATAGAACAGTGCTGTCCAGTAGAAATACAGTTCAAGTCCAATATGTGATTTTTACATTTTCTGGTAGCCACATAAAAAAGGTTAAAAGAAACAAGTGAAACTAATTTTAATAAAATTTTATTTAACCCAATATGTTAAAAAAAATACATTGTTTTTAACATCTAATCAGTATAAGAATGTATTGATGAAATATTTTGCTTTCCTTTTTTGTGCTAAGCCTTCGAAACCTGGCGTATATTTTATACTTTTGTCATACATTTTAATATATATATACACATTATTGATTTTAGAGAGAGGAAGGAAGAGGGAGAGAGATAGAAACATCAGTGATGAGAGAGACTAATTGATTGGATGCCTCCGCACTCCCCCTACTGGGGATGGAGCCCGCAACCCGGGCACATACCCTGACTTGAAATCAAACCTCAACCTCCTGATTCATAGGTCACTCAACCAGTGTCACACTGGCTGAGTTGGAGTCATACATTTTAAGGGCTTAGTAGCCATGAGCGGCTAGTGGCTACTATATTGGGCATTGCAGGATGGAAGAAGGCATTATAACTTGCCTATTTTTCTGTAAGTTTCTTATATGTTCATTAGTTGTTAAGGTCAAAGATTAAAAGCAAAGTGCTATTGGAGTAAATTAAGCTTATTCAAAGAAAAAATAGTTTTATATGTTTTCTGTAAACTTTTTATTAATAACATACCTCTAGCATAGTGCATGTAGCATAAATGTGTAAGTAGGTGTGTTTTCACAAAAGAAGCACATTTGTGTGATGAACCCCTAGACCCGTGGTCGGCAAACCGCGGCTCGAGAGCCACATGTGGCTCTTCGGCCCCTTGAGTGTGGCTCTTCCACAAAATACCACGTGGGGGCGCGCACATACAGTGCGATTGAAACTTCGTGGCCCATGCGCAGAAGTCGGTATTTTGTGGAAGAGCCACACTCAAGGGGCCAAAGAGCCACATGTGGCTCGCGAGCCACGGTTTGCCAAGCTGCAGTTTGCCGACCACTGCGCCTAGACCATGAATCAGAAGATTACCAGCACTCCCACCCTCCAGTCACTGTCCTTCCCACCTTCTCAAGGGTAACCACTGGTCTGACTTGTAACATCCAAGATCAATTTTACTTGTTTCTGAACTTGCTATACAAGTTTATATATATATATTAATATTGATCCATGGTGTTGCTTATAACAATAGTTCATTCTTGTTGCTTCATTGTAGGAATATACTATAACATTCTACTGTTGATGGGCATTTGAAGTCATTTTCAGTTTGGGGCTATTACATTCCTTTATACTCGTCTTTTGTAGGACATATACCAGGTGTCCCAAAGAAATATTTACACACTTTAATAGCTGATAACTCACCGTAATTTTCAATCTTTTTCAGGTTTAACTGATTTGAAATAATAGGTGAAGCCAGACTAAGCTTTGAACAAAGAAAATTTATCCTAAAGTGCCAGTAGACTTTTTTTATGGGGATACATAAAAGATAAAACCGGCAACAGTCAACTAATTGGAGGCACACAAATGCCAAAAGAAATAATTCTTTTTTGTTGTTTTTGTTAATCCTCATCTGAGGATTTTTTTTTTTTCCTATTGATTTTTAGAGGGGAAGGGAGGGGGAGAGACAGATAGAGAGAAACAACGATGTGAGAGAGACATATCTATTGGTTGCCTCCTGCATACCGGGCATTGAGCCTGTAACCGTAGAGGTTTGTGCCCTCGATCGCAATCAAACCTGAGACCCTTGAGTCCACAGGCCAATGCTCTAACCACTGAGCAACTGGCTAAGGTGAAATGATTCTTGATGTTTGCGATTCCACTGCTTCGCATTATCAGCAGTGCCTGAACTAGAATGGTCATCAGTTTGGAAACAGGCACAAAACAGTGTTCATTTTACAGATTCTTTTAAATTTTGTATGTTAAAAAACACTGACTTTATAATCATTCAAAGCGTATATACATTTTTTGGGACACCTTGTATGTGTTTTTATTGGTATGTACTTAGGAATAGAATTGATGGGTTACAGGATATGAACATATTCATTCAGTTTTGGTAGATGCTGCCAAATAGTTTTCCATAATAGTTATATTAATATTATGTCAGTTTCTCTAGTGCTGTGAGAGAGTGAGAGAGTGGAAGGGAGGGGGAGATACAGAGAGAAACATTGATGTAAGAGAGACACATTGATTGGTTGCCTCCCACACACACACCGACCAGGGCCAGGGATCGAGCCTGCAACCAAGGTACATGCCCTTGACTGGAATCAAACCCAGGACCCTTCAGTCCGTGGGCCAACGCTCTATTCACTGAGCAAAACTGGCTAGGGGCACATTGTGTTTTAATTTGTTTTCCTGATGACTAATGCAGGTGAGCATCTTTTCATTTACTGGCACAAATATAGAGTTGTGGGGTGATGACTTTAATCCACTGAGGGACTAAGCCAAGTTGAGAGTCAGTTATAGTTTTAGTATGGCTCCATCTGTGCCTAATTTCCTCCTGTTCCTGGGGTATAACACTCCAGATTGCAGCAGAAAGCCTGATACATTTATTGGGTTCCCTGCCCTTACTTATAAACAAGGGCTGTGACTACAGATGATGTCTTAGTTCTTAAATTTGGTAATGGACATTCAGGTTTGTAATCTTTTTAAAGTTCTTTTGTGTGTGTGTGAAATATAAGGTGTTTCTTTAAGTCAGGAAAAATAAATTGGTGGGCGATTTAAAACATGAGAATCTTAAAAATCTCTTAATTGTAGGTCTTTGAGTTTATATTTACAAAATGATCTTTTTAATTTATGACAAAATTTCTATTTATCTTATTTGATTTATGGGTTAATGTTTCTTCTCTTTTCTCTAGTCTTTACAAAGAAAATTGCTTATGGTAATCTCTCAGAAAGATACATTTCATTCTTTTTTCCAACACTTCAGCTACAGCCATATGATGGAGAAAATTAAGAGTTTTGTGAATTATGTACTTGATGAAAAATCATCAACATTTCTAATGAAGGTATGCATGTATTCAGAAAGACTGGTAGACTTAGGAGAAATTGATATAATAAAGAAGAATACTTGAAATAGAAATCCTTTAAAAGCAAATCAGAATTTTGTTTCGTGATTTTTTGTAAAAGAATGTGGCAAAATGTTACAATTAGTGAATGTAAAGGGTTTCTTGGTGGTATTTATAGTATTTTTATAACTTTTCAAAATAAGAGTTGAAATTTTTCAAAATAAAAAGTTAGAGGGAAAACTTAGAATGAGTTAAGAAATAAGCAAAAATATTTAGTTTCAATTTAAATTTTACTGAAAGTTTTTGCATATTTTTGGGAAAAGTAAAGTAACTTTTTTATCTTCAAATTTCCAAGAGAACTTTGGAGGTGTAACATATGTTCACAAGGAAAGACCTGCATAATGCTTACAAACCAAGCAGATAGCTGAAGTAGCTGCTCATGATGTCACAGCTACAGCATAGTGCCCTTGATTGGCCTGTGCATAGATATTTTGGTTATGACTATCAAAGAATTAGAAGCTTTAATTTAATGCTTTTTGTTTAAAATGGCTTAATGCATTCCTTTCTTTCTCCAACAACTTTTTTTAAGGCAGCAGCAAAAGTAGTAGAAAGTAAAAGAGCAAGAACAACAGTTTCTCAAGATAATGATGTTGACATGGAAACTCAAGCTAATTTGGAAGTACGCAAAAGGTTTGTAAATCTGTTTACATATTTTTTGTCTTCTGATGCAGTCTTTTTATGTAAAAGTGGTACTAGTGAGCCATTATTAATAAAAATATTATTGAGCCGTGGGTATATTGTCTTGCTGATGATTAACATTGGTTGATTTGGCGTATGTAGACTTATTTCACGGTTTATGCAAATCTGTTATATATGCCAAACAAAAATAGAGAATGAGAAAATACACAGTTTAAATAATGTAGTGTCATTTACCATTCTCAGAGGACATGTGCTCTGGAACAGTGTTGAGGTTAGAAACCTGAATCATCTGTGCCCCTTAGTTCTCAGATCCCACTTGCCCTATTATTTGACTGTTTGACACTACTGAGGGTTATTCTACTATTTAAGACATTGCTGCCGTAGTCGGTTTGGCTCAGTGGATGGAGCGTCGGCCTTCGGACTGAAAGGTCCCGGGTTCGATTCCGATCAGGGGCATGTGCCTTGGTTGCGGGCACATCTCCAGTGGGGAGTGTGCGGGAGGCACTGATCGATGTTTCTCTCTCATCGATGTTTCTGGCTCTCTGTCTCTCCCTTCCTCTCTGTAAAAAATCAATAAAATATATTTTTTTAAAAAAAAGACATTGCTCATACATCTTCTCTAAGGGTAAGCTAGCCCGCTTCATCTGCTGCTCCACTGAAGAAACAGTGATTTGCTCCAGTGCTGAGGGAAACCACTGTTTAGTCGTACATATTGAGAGACAAGAGTTCAGTCTCCAGAGTTATTTCTTTAGGGGTTTGCAAGGGTGACTTACACAATTGATTTTACCTTTGCTTTGGTTTTAGAAGCTAACCCTGTCAATAATATAAACCCTTCTATTATTAAAACCTTCTTTTCTATTGAATCGATGGTCCATTCCCTCTGTTCTTTCACCCTTAATTTAAGGCCAGAAGATAGTCATTCTGTGGTCTCCTTAACTACTTATTTAGAGGTGAGGATTGGTATCCAACAAGTTGGATGGACATAGCTTTGGTCACACATTAGGGCTGAGCTCAGTCATCTTATAACTAGGTAATCTCTCCTGTCCCTACTATCAGAACAGGATCTGGCTCATCTCCGCAAAGACTGTTAAAGTCTTAGTTCTTACTGACTTTTTTTTTTTTTTTTTGAAGACTCATTCTGAGAAGTATAGATTTTATTTTAAAAAAATTTAATTTGCCATTTTATTTGTTTTGTTTTTTTGTTAATCCTCACTGGAGGATATTCTTTCCATTGGTGTCGGGGTGGGGGAAAGAAAGAGAAAGAGAAACATCAAAGTAAGAGACACATCAATTGCTTGCCTCTTACATGTACCGCCACCAGGGCCAGGGATTGAACCTGCAACCCAGGTATGTGCCCTTGACAGGAAATCGAACCCAAGAACCTTCAGTGCATAGGCTGATCCTATCCAGGGGGCCACACTGGCCAGGGCCAGGTTTTATTTTTATTGACTCAATTATTGTATTTTATTTAGGAAATTAAAATTTAGTAATACTAATACCTAATACATTCTCGTGGCCCAGCCTTCCTGTCCAGTGTAATACTGCTTTAAAATAAAGATTTACCACGATTCTGGCAGATAATGAACACCTATCCTATGTGCCTTCCTTATATAATATCACCTACTTGTTTCAAATGTCTAGACACAAAGTAAATCAGTGTGTAAAACAGAATTGTTGATTTCTCATCTGCTCTCTGTAACCTGACTCCCTCACCTCACACATCCAGTTACCTCCCCAAGCGTTATGAATCCCATCTCAGAAATGTCTCTCTAACTCATCCTTTCTTATAATTTACTAGAGCATCTGCCCCCTGGTGGTCAGTGCACGTCATAGCTACCGGTCAGATGGTCACTTAGGCTTTTATATAAATATATATATATATATATATATATTTCCTAAATTATTACTTAGCCTTGTACCACACAAATCCATCCTTGACATGACTTCCAGAGTTAGCTTCCCATGAAAGCAGGTCTGTCTAAATCATTTCACAATAACCTCTGTTGGCTTTCTCTTCTTACTAGACGAGTTATAATTTATTGGCATGGCTTATAGGGCTTTACATAGCCCCTTTCTGGTTTTGCTTTTGTCTTTTTTTTTTCTTTATTCATAATATTATCCCCTCCCTGTCCACATACATGGTACTTTCTAGCAGCCAGAACTTCTCCCTCATCTTGAAATATTACAAGCTGTTTCATGCCTTGACCCTTGCTTCAGTTTTTGTGTTTTGTTTTGTTTTGTTTTAATCCTCACCCGAGGATATTTTTCCATTGATTTTTCCATTGAGTGGAAGAGAGAGGGAAAGACAGAACTAACGATGTGAGAGAAACACATTGATTGATTGCCTTCTGCAGGAGCCCCGACCACGGCCTGGGAGGAGGAGGAGCCTAGAAATGAGGTCGGGGCCCTTTACTGGAATTGAACCCGGGACCAGTCCACAGGCTGACGCTCTATCCACTGAGTCAAACTGGCTAGGGCAGCAAGGAATGTTTTTTTGTTTGTTTGTTTTTTAATTGATTTCAGAGAGAAGACAGGAGAGGGAGAGAGAGATTGAAACATCAATGATGAGAGAGAATCATTGATTGGCTGCCTCCTGCTTGCCCCCTACTGGGGTCGAGGCCGAAACCCAGGTATGTACCCTTGACCAGAATCAAACCTGGGACCCTTCCGTCCACAGGCTGACGCTCTATCCATTGAGCCAAACCAGGTAGGGCCAGTTTTTGTGTTTTTTAAAAATTTTTAAAGTATGTTTTTATTGATTTTAGGGAGAGAGAGAAACATCAATCGGCTGCCTCCTGCACACCCCTACTGGTGATCGAGCCCACAACCCACGCATGTGCCCTGCCCAGAAATTGAACCAGCAACCTCTCCATGCATGGGACGATACTCCAACTGAGCCACACCAGCCAGGGCTCTTCAGTTTTTAATTTCCTTCTTTCTAGTCTCTTCAAGGCAATCTCTTACTTGCCACTCAAGGTCTAGCTCGAAGATGACCTACAAGAAGTCTCGTTGTGCTCTCTGATAAGAGTTGTCACTTCTGTGCTCCCATAGCACTGAGTCACACCTGTGTGAAGGGACTTACCTTGTACAGTAACATATTTGTTTACCCGCCTGTATCTCTCACTAGATTAAGAATTCTTTAGAGGTTCTTAATAAGCTTTGTATCCAAGGTACCTAGTTCATTACCAGGTATACATTAGAACTTGCAGTGCACTAGACATAGGGAGCAAAACCAAAACTAGACACGAAGTAGAGATCAAGCGTCAAGCAACTAACAAAGCTATCCTGGAAGCAGATAGAATCAGAGTTGTGACTGCAAGGTCATACAAATGCTAGGAAAAAATGAAGCCCTTGTGTTACCAGTGCTGGATGAAATATTGTGCTCTGATAAAGCTTATAAACTGTTGGAGGCCATCAGAATTATAGACGTGAAACACACAGACATTACCTAACTTGTTAGTGTGCAGATGGACTTACACGCTGAAAGACTTTACATGGACAGCTTCAGGGACGGGTGAGCACTGAGCAGGGCCTTGGAGGGTGGTTTGGATTTTTACAGGTGAATGAAAGAGGAAGTATCATTTCAGGAGAGAATAGTTGCCATGAAGCCGTGGTGATGTAATGGTGGTGCTGTGTTGTGGGAGCTGATTTTAACTATCACAAAGGGGAAGGATTCATAAAAAAATCAGTCCTGGCCAGTGTTTCACAGTGGTTAGAGTATTGGCCCACACACCAAAGGGTGGTGAGTTCGATTGCTGATCAAGGACCTGGGTTGCCGGGTTGATCCCCACCTTGGTCAAGGCACATGCGGGTGGCAAACAAGCGATGTGTGTCCCTCACATCAATGTATTTCTTCCCCCCCCCTCCTCCTTCCCTTCTACTCTCTATAAAAGTCAATGGAAAAACATATCCCAGAAAATAAAATAAAGTTCAGTTAGAGAATGGTGGCAAAAATTAGTCATGTTGTAATGAAATATATAGCCCAATGTTACCAGGATTTCTTTTGCAAAGATGGTTTTTATGCACTGAAATTTTTAATAAATTGACTGCGTGAAAACTACTATTCTGTTTTGGTTTGGTTTTTCTTTTTTTTTTTTTTTTAGAGACAGAAAGAAATACTAATTTGTTATTCCATTTATTTAAGCATTCATTCGTTGATTCTTATATGTGCTCTCACTGGGGATGGATCCCACAGCCTTGGCATATCGAGACAATGCTCTAACCAACTGAGCTACCTGGCCAGGGTAGAAAGGACTGTTCTTATGAAATGTTTACTTTTATTGCATTCTTATAATTATTTTCTTCCTTTCAGTGTTAATAACAAACCATCTGCAGTAACTGAATCCTCACGGGATACAGTATCTTTAATGAGGTAAGGTAAATAGACATTATTTCTTCTTCATTTTTAAAATCTTTTTAGGAATTCATGCAGAACCTAGACAGGTCATAACAACTGCCTAGTTATTAAAAAATGGTATTATTTAAAAAATATTGCCTGTTCCTACTTACCTCAGCAGATATTCAAGACCCTGACATGTCCTGAAATTCCAAACTATAGAGACCTGCCTCTGGGACCCAGGTTGTTTCACATTGTTTCTATAGGGCCATTATTGGAATACACACATAGGGAGTACTTGAACTGAAAGCAGGTGTTTAGCAAACTCTTCCTCTGCCATAGAAATAAGAATATGATGTTGCAGCAGGAGAAGGATGGAAGTTACATTTCTGATGAGTATCCCAAATTCTGATTTTTTTAAAGCATGTTTTTATTGGTTTGGGGGGGGGGGGCGGGGGAGACAGAGAAACATCGATTAGTTGCCTCTTGTATGCACCCAGACTGGGATCAAACTGGCAATCTTTTGGTGCATGGGATAACACTCAACCGAGTCACATCAGCCAGGGCTCAAATTCCAGTTTTATGAAATTACTTGAAAAACTGTAACCTATTAGAAATGCTGTGATAGACAATGTCACATGTTCAGTGAGCAGAAAGTCTGCATGAATAATTTCAGAGATAAAAAGTCGGGATGCTGACTGAAATTGTGTTTGGAGTGGCTGACCTGGTGGGGAGGAGCTCATTGGGAATGAGAAATTGAGAGGCCAGGATGCTATATGCGTTACCTACAAGAACACTGAAATAATTAATGATAACAGCAGCAGTTAGGGATAGAGAGAGAGATCTGATGATGGGAAGTGCTTGGAAGGATAGCGGTTGACTGAAGAATAGTAGGTGGTGGGTGGTGGTGCATCTCAGTGGCACAAGTCCTCACCGGCTAAGGTCTCTGTGGAAGCAGGATCCTGAAAGTGGCATTCATTAGGAAATGAAAAGTAGAGAGATCCACCTCTGGGACCCGAGGTTCATGGAAGGCAGAAAATTAAGTCTCTACTTGAGAAGTCCACAAAGGAGAGAAAAATTGTCCCTAAGGGGGGCTACATGTTAAAGAAGGCAAAGAGGTGGGGTAACTGGTGAAGAGGCTGGAATGGCATTCCAGAGAGCACAGGAGGGAGGGAAAGGATTAGCAGGTTATATAGAGCACTTACAGGGGAGAAAGTAGAGGTTTTAGGTGGTGATATAATAGCTGTGTAAGCTTGGGTGAACTTTTTTCATTATAGTTTGCATCTTTATAAAATTGGAGTAATACTAATTTTACAGAGTTGTCAAATTCTTCCACATCCTATATTTTCAAACAGCTTACCTTTCAGAAAAATCCTTTTTGGAAGCTATAAAGACAGTCAAATGATACCTGCCATCATGTGTAAAGGAATTTTGGAATTTCTCTTTGGGGAAATGAACTTATAAGCCATAGCAAAGAATGAAAGTTAATGCTTTATGGTCTGAGGATTTTTTTTCTTGATCTATCTAATTGAAGGCCAAAAGAATCTCCATTCTGAATAGATGAGATGGAGAAAATAAGTGATGGGAGAAAGGGGAGTCTGATAATAAAAAACCTTAAGAGGCCATAGGTTAAAGTGGGACACTAAGCAAGGAGAGCATCAAAGGGAACTGGCCAAACTAGAAAAATGACCGAGAAAAAATAATACTCTTTGTGGAACCAGTCACAAGCTTTGATGTTTCATTTAGGTCTCACAAGAATCTCTTCTTATCTAAATCACAATATGGACGCCAATCACAAGATTTTAATGAGAAAGAAAAAGCAGAAACTCTTATAAGTGAGTACTCTTACTACAGTTTTAGAAGTGGAAAATTGATGTGTTCTCGAAAGCAAGCCAACCCTTTACTTCATCACCATAGTGCGCGCACACACACTTCAGACGATTGAAACACAAAGAGATTAAATGTCATGACTTCACAGAGTCGATTAGAAGTGGTGGCTAAGTTAGAAAATAGCTACTCTGACTACAGAGTTCACATACTTTTGCTAATGTGTACACTGCTTTTCTACTGTAACTTTATTTAGCAACTTTGGAATAGTTACTTATCTGAAACATACAGTCGATTCTTGTTATTCACAGTTATGTTCTTTAACTGTCTCCATGAACGTCTCCATGAACACTGAATTAGTGAATACTGAAACTATAGGAGAAGGTAGGATAGGTTCCTTGAAGCCTCTGGTCACATTTTTACCAACTAATCAGTACATAAGTTTGTTTTATGTGTTTCTGTTTAAAGACATCTTATTTAATGTATATTGTATATTCATTAACATTGAACTCATGGCCAACAGCACTAAATAGACTATCATAAAGGACAGTTACTAGTATTTATAGAATTGAGAGCTAAAATAAGTCATAGCTTTACCTTTAACTTCAGCTGGGACTGTGCACCTCAGATTTTTTGCCACTTTGCACATGTCAACCAATGACCATGAAAGCACTATGAGTGCTGACTTATTGAGTTATAAGTTGACTTATTGACTTATTGAGTTAAATTTTAATAAGTTGGCAGATTTTCAAATACAGAATCCATGAATCTGAAAATTGACTATATAGAATCTTGCTATCCTCATTGCATTCAGAATTTATTATCCTTATTAAAGACATGGCTGGATTGATTTAAGAAACAAGTAACAATAACCAAAAAATAAATCTTAAAAACAGTCCATAGTTATTTTTAATTATAATTTGATTGTATGTTCATTCTTAGTATGTAGGCATTTAACCAGTGTTTATTGAACTGACACTTCTAGACCAGCGGTTCTCAACCTGTGGGTCATGACCCCTTTGGGGGTCAAACGACTCTTTCACAGGGGTCGCCTAAGACCATCGGAAAACACATATAATTACATATTGTTTTTGTGATTAATCACTATGATTTAATTATGTTCAATTTGTAACAGTGAAATTGGGGGTCACCACAACATGAGGAACTGTATTAAAGGGTCGCAGCATTAGGAAGGTTGAGAACCACTGTTCTAGACACTGCACTAATGCAAAGATTTAAAACCTTATTGGCTGTGGTTGGTTTTCTCAGTGGTTACAGCATTGGCCCATGATTGAAGGGTCCCAGGTTTGATTCCTAGTCAAGGGCATGTACCTCAGTTGCAGGTTCATCCCTGTGCCCTGACTGGGGCATGTGCTGGAGGCAAGCAATTGATGTGTTTCTCTCATGTCGATGTCACCCTCTCTCTCCCTCCCTCTTCCCACTCCTTCTCCCCCTCTTATCCCCCTCCCTCCAACACTCTCTAAAAGTCAATGGGAAAAAAATTCCCGGCGGTGAGGATTTTTTTAAAAATACTTATTGATCCAAACCTAAATACACTAATCAATATAAAAATAACTAGAGGCCTGGTGCATGAAATTCATAATTCATGCACTTGGGGGCGGGGGGTCCCTCACCCCAGCCTGCACCCTCTCATAGTCCAGGAGCCCTCGGGGGATGTCCAACTGACAGTTTAGGCCTGCTCCCCATGGCAGTCAGACATCCCTAGCACTGCCATGGAGGCAGGAGAGGCTCCCACCACCACTGCTGAGCTGGGCTTCTGGCTGAGCGGTGCTCCCCCTGTGGGAGTGCACTGACCACTAGGGGGCAGCTCCTGCATTGAGCATCTGCCCCCTGGTGGTCAGTGCACATCATAGTGACCAGTCGTTCCGCCATTCGGTCGATTTGCATATTACCCTTTTATTATATAAAAACTAGAGGCCTGGTGCATGAAATTCGTGCGGGGGGGTGCGGGGCGGTTTCCCCTCAGCCCAGCCTGCACCTTCTCCAATCCGGGATCCCTCTCACAATCTGGGACTACTGGCTCCTAACTACTCACCTGCCTGCCTGCCTCATTGCCCCTAACTGCGCCCCCCGCTGGCCTGCTCACCCCCATCTGCCCCCCCTGCCAGCCTAGTCGCCCCCCACCGGCCTGGTCGCCCCCAACTGCCCCCCCCCCCCCCCCCGTGGGCCTGTTTGCCCCACACAGACCGCTGCTCAGTTGTTTGGTCACCCCTCACTAACCCCCCTGTCGGCCTGGTCACCCCACACATCCCGCTACTCCGTCATTTGGGCACCCCTCACTAACCCCCCTGCCGGCCTAGTCGCCCCACCCAGCCTATTTGGTCATCCATTCGGTTGCGATGGTTGCTTAGGCTTTTATATATATATACTAGAGGCCCGGTGCACAAAAATTTGTGCACTGGTGGGGGGGTATCCCTCAGCCCCACTTGTGCCCTCTCACAGTTTGGGACCCCTCGGGAGATAATGACCTGCTGGCTTAGGCCCGCTCTCGGGTGGCAGAGGGCAGGCCCAATCCCTAGGTGCCTGCCCCGCAGCCCCTGGTCGAGCTCAGAGCAGGGCCGATTGGGGAGTTGGGGCGCTGCCCCAGTCATGCACAGAGCAGGGCGGATCAGGGTTGCAATGCCACCCCCAGTCACGCTCAGGGTAGGGCCGATTGGGGGGTTGGGGTGCCGCCCCCTGTCACACTCAAGGCAGGGTCGATGGGGAGGTTGCAGCACCACCCCCTGTCACGCACAGAGCAGGGTAGATCGGGGGGTGGCGCCACCCCTGTCACATACAGAGCCGGCCAATCGGGGTTGGGGCGCTGCCCCCTGATACGCACAGAGCAGGGCCCATCAGGGGGGTTGAGGCTCCGTACCCTGTCACACACAGAGCAGGGCCGATCAGGGGGTTGGGGAGATCCCCCCTGCCATGCACAGAGCAAGGCGGATCAGGAAGTTGCAATGCCACCCTAAGTCACGCTCAGGGTAGGGCCGATTGGGGGGTTGGGGCGCCACCCCCGTCACACTCAAGGCAGGGCCGATGGGGAGGTTGCGGCTCCACCCCATCACACACAGAGCAGGGCCCATGGGGGGGTTGGGGCGCCGCACCCTGTCACACACACAGCAGGGCCGATTGGGGTTGGGGAGCTCCCTCTTATCAGGCACAGAGCAGGGCCGATCAGGGGATTGGGGCGCCTTCCCCTGTCACGAACAGAGCAGGGCGGATAGGGAGGTTGTGACCCCGCCCTCTGTCACACACAGAGCTGCAGGGCGATCAGGGGGTTTGGGCGCTGCCCCATCACGCTGCTCCAGGGGCCAGGAGGCCTCACGGCTCCGCTGATCCCAGTGCTGGGAGGCCTCGCGGCTCCGCTTGACACCGGGGCAATGAGGCCTCGCTGCTCAGCTGATTCTGGTGCTGGGAGGCCTCGCGGCTCCGCTTGCCACCAGGGCAATGAGGCCTCGCTGCTCCGCTGATCCCGGTGGTAGGAAGCCTTGTGGCTCCACTGATCCCGGGTTCAGGAGGCCCTGTGGCTCTGCTGATCCCAGGCTGGGAGGCCTCGCAGCTCCGCTGATCCCAGTGCCGGGAGGCCTCGTGGCTCCGCTGATCCTGGTGCTGGGAGGCATATTACCCTTTTACTATATAGGATAGAGGCCTGGTGCATGGGTGGGGGCCTGCTAGTTTGCCCTGAAGGGTGTCCCGGATCAGGGTGGGGGTCCCCACGGGGGTGCCTGGCCAGCCTGGGTGAGGGGATGATGGCTGTTTGCAGCCGGTCACACCCCCTTCAGGGTGGGGGTCCCCACTGGGGTGCCTGGCCAGTCTGGGTGAGGGGCTGAGGGCCGTTTTCCGGCTGGCGGGTGACTGAAGCTCCCAACCTCTCTTTTATTTCTTTTTTCTTTTTTATTCTGGGATTTATTTACCTTCTATGGCTGTCACTGGAGCTGAGAGCCGTCTTTAGCTCTGAAACCTCGGCTGCTGAAAGCAGGTTTCTGGGCTTTGTTTACCTTCTGTATTTGAAACTTTGTTGCGACTCCAGCTCAGAGATCCCGCAGGTGAAAGCAGGTTTCTGGGTTTTGTTTAGCTTCTATATTTGCAACATTGTTTCTTAGAGAGCAGCTGAGAGGCCGGCAGTGGCAGGTGGGGAACCTGGCTTCCTCGTCACTGGAGCGAGCAAGCCTCTCTGTTCGCTTCAGCTGCCTGGCTGCCGGCCGCCATCTTGGTTGCCAGTTAATTTGCATATCTCGCTGATTAGCCAATGGGAAGCGTGTGTGTGTGTGTGTATACACATCCTATCTAATAAAAGACAAAGGGTAATTGACTGTACCTTTGCTGCGCTTCCCATTGGCTAATCAGGGCGATATGCAAATTAACCGCCAACCAAGATGGCGGCCGGCAGCCATGCAGCTGAAGCGAGCAGGAGGCTTGCTTGCTCCAGTGATGGAGGAAGCCAGGGTTCCCCGCCTGCCACGGCCCGGCTCTGAGCTCCAAAAGCAACAGCTCCAAAAGCAACAAAGTTTCAATTATAGAAGCTAAACAAACCTCAGATACCTGCTTTCAGCAGGCCATAGTCTCAGAGCTGAAGCGAGCAGGACAGCAACAAAGTTTCAATTATAGAAGGTAAATAAATCCCAGAATAAAAAGAAAAAAAGGAGAGGCTGGGAGCTTCAGTCGCCGGCCAGCCTGAAAACGGCCCTCAGCCCCTCACTTAGACCAGTCAGGCACCCCAGTGGGGACCCCCACCCTGAAAGGGGTGTGGCCAGCTGAAACAGCCATCATCCCCTCACCCAGGCTGGCCAGGCACCTCAGCGGGGCCCCCACCCATGCACCAGGCCTCTATCCTATATAATCAAAGGGTAATATGCAAACTGACCCTAACAGCAGAAAGACTGGGAATGACTGGTCACTATGACACACACTGACCACAGAGGCCAAACGCTCAATGCAGGAGCTGCCCTCTGGTGGCCAATGTGCTCCCACATGGGGGAGCTCTGCTCGGCCACAAGCCAGGCTGATGGCTGCCAGTACATCGGTGGTGGTGGGAGCCTCTCCTGCCTCCTCAGCAGCGCTAAGGATGTCTGACTGCAGCTTAGGTCTGCTCCCCCTGGCAAGTGGACATCCCTCGAGGGCTGCCGGACTGCCAGAGGGATGTCTGATTGCCAGCTTAGGCCCAATCCCCCGGGGAGCAGACCTAAGCCAGCAGATGGTCATCCCCTGAGGGGTCCCAGACTGCAAGAGGGCACAGGCTGGGCTGAGGGACACACACACCCCCACCCCCCACCCCCACCCCCAGTGCACAAATTTTTGTGCACCGGGCCTCTAATATATATATGGTACCAATTTGATGGCAGGCACATAGTAGGCCTACAGTAAATATTAATTGAATAAATTAATGGCTGCTTTCATGGCCACTATTAGCTAATATCTGTATATTGCAGCTCAAAATCATTTACACCCATAGATATTATCATTATCCTCATTTTAAAGATGGTAAAGTTAAATTCAAAGAAATGTTTGCTTCATGTTTAAGTTTCAAAGTTGTTTTTCTACATCTATTGCTACAAAATGCCTAGGAATTATAATTCTAAACTAAAATAATTTGGTTCCCTTGACCTAGTTAGGTGCCTGTCTAACTACAGAAACTGCTTGGTATCAGGAAATAAGTCAGCCTTGCACATTCAGCAAGAACTATAGGGATGCTCAGGGCCCATGGTGAACTACCTCTCCTAACACACATAATTTTAGAATAATCTTAAATTCTACAAAGAACCCTGTTGAAATTTTAATTTGAGATTGCATTGTGACAATAGATAATTTTGGAGAGAATTGACACAATTATATGATATCTTCCTGTGCATGAACAAAAGATGTATTTCTGTATTTAGATTCTTATATATTTTCTTATAATGTAGGTGTACACACATATATAATAATGCTTTATGAGTTACTACATATAGGTCTTGATTATTTTTGCTAGGTTTATCCCTAAGAATGTTACATTTTTGTTACTGTTAATATTATCTTTCAGTTCTTTTAATTAGATATTTTAACTGTTGTTAATGTACAGAAATTTTATTTAGTTTTGTTTATTGAGCTAACCATTAAATAATAGTTTATTATCTACCCACCTTGCTAAACCCTTTTAAATTCTATTTTTAGATTCTTTTGGGTTTTCTGTATAAAAATTTTCTTACAATAATTAGTTCTATGTCTTTTCAGTTACATATACATTTCTTGTTTTACTAAACTATGAATAAGAAAGAAGAGATGAGGAAAGATTTACACATAAAACATTGTATCAAATACTTCTTAAATATGATCCTAAGAAATTTTAACAGATGATGAAAAGGCAGGCTCTGGGAGGTGAGATGACTTGTTTAAAGGCATGCAAAGTAATCAAGATTCAAAACACACCCACTCTGATTTTCTAGTACTTATCCTTGCACTGTGCCATGCTGTTTCAAGATTCAAAGTTGGGCCCTAACTGGTTTGACTCAGTGGATAGAGCATCGGCCTGCGGACTCAAGGGTCACAGGTTCGATTCCAGTCAAGGGCATGTACCTTGGTTGCGGGCACATCCCCAGTGGGGAGTGTGCAGGAGGCAGCTGATCGATGTTTCTCTCTCATCAATGTTTCTAACTCTCTATCCCTCTCCCTTCCTCTCTGTAAAAAATCAATAAAATATATTTAAAAAAAAAAAAAATTCAAAGTTGGGGGGGGGGAATTAAGCACAAAGAATTATTTCCCTTTAAAAATCGCTAAAAAATAAGAATTTTATTGTAATCTTTTAAAATGCAATTCCTCTTTTTCTTCTAATGTAAAACAATTTTTGATGGCAGTTTTTCTACTTTTAGGTAGAAGAAAGACAGAGAGAAGCAGACAAGCCACTGAAAGAAACAGAATGGATGTTTTAAACAATCAGCCAAAAACTTCTAAAAATGATCGATCTAGAAAAAAACAGGTATTTGTTCATTATTTCACAATAATACTTAATGGACAGTCAAGTCATAACTTGAATAATTGTGATTATTTCACATTGTTTCTTTTCAACTCTAAAAAAAATTGTGAGTGTAAAATATTTCTTTTTGGCTGTCTCTGATTTTGCTATCTTAGTATAATTGACCAATCTGCCTATTCAAAGTTCCAAGAAAATACTTCACCCACATTTTAAAAATAGTCTTGTTGGGTATTGATAATGACATTAATTAAACTTGTTGTTAAACTATCATAAAGTTAGTTCATCAGATGTAAGGTGGGGCTTAAATCTACATATGTAACTTTTTATATTCATACTAGAGGCCCGGTGCACAAAAATTTGTGCACTCGGGGGGGAAGGGGGTCCCTCAGCCCGGCCTGTGCCCTCTCGCAGTCTGGGACCCCTCGGGAGATAACGACCTGCTGGCTTAGGCCTGCTCCCGGGTGGCAGAGGGCAGGCCCAATCCCTAGGTGCAGCCCCTGGTCAGGCTCAGAGCAGGGCCGATTGGGGAGTTGGGGCGCCGCCCCGTCATGCACAGAGCAGGGCGATCGGGAGGTTGTGATGCCACCCTCAGTCACACTCAGGGTAGGGCCGATTGGGGGGTTGGGACACCGTCCCCTGTCACACTCAAGGCAGGGTCGATGGGGAGGTTGCAGCACCACCCCCTGTCACGCACAGAGCAGGGCCCATCAGGGGAGTTGGGGCTCTGTACCCTGTCACGCACAGAGCAGGGCCAATCAGGGGGTTGAGGAGCTCCCCCTGTCACACACAGAGCAGGGCTGATCAGGGGCTTGAGGAGCTCCCCACTGTCACTCACAGAGCAGGGCCCATCGGGGGTTGGGGCACCGCCCCCCGTCACACACAGAGCAGGGCCAATCAGGGGGTTGGGGCGCCGCCCTCTATCACCCACAGAGCAGGGCCGATCAGGGGGTTGGGGCGCTGCACCCTGTCACACACAGAGCAGGGCCGATCAGGGGGTTAGGGCACTGCACCCTGTCACACACAGAGCTGCAGGGCGATCAGAGGGTTTGGGTGCTGCCCCCTGTCACGCTGATCCTGGTGCCGGGAGGCATATTACCCTTTTACTATATAGAATAGAGGCCTGGTGCACGGGTGGGGGCTGGCTGGTTTGCCCTGAAGGGTGTCCTGGATCAGGGTGGGAGTCCCCACTGGGGTGCCTGGCCAGTCTGGCTGAGGGGCTGAGGGCCGTTTTCAGGCTGACGGGTGACTGAAGCTCCCAACCGCTCCTTTTTTCCTTTTTTTTTTTTTTTATTCTGGGTCAGCTTTAGCTCTGAGGCCTTGGCTGCTGAAAACAGGTTTCTGGCCTTTGTTTACCATCTGTATTTTATACAATGTTGCGGTCTGGCTGGCTGAAGCCCGGCTGAGTAAAGCAGGTTTCTGGGGTTTTCTTAGCTTCTATATTTGCAGCATAGTTGCTTAGAGTTGCAGCTGAGAGGCCGGCAAGTCAGGCAGGGAACGTTGGAGTCCTCCATCACTGAAGCAAGCAAGCCTCCCTGTTCGCATCTGCTGCCTGGCTGCCGGCCGCCATCTTGGCTGGCAGTTAATTTGCATATCCCCCTGATTAGCCAATGGGAAGGGTAGCGGTCGTACGCCAATTACCATCTTTCTCTTTTATAGGACTAGAGCAGTGGTTCTCAACCTTCCTAATGCCACAACCCTTTAATACAGTTCCTCATGTTGTGGTGACCCCCAGTTTCATTGTTACATATTGAACATAATTAAAGCGTAGTGATTAATCACAAAAACAATATGTAATTATATATGTGTTTTCCGATGGCCTTGGGCGACCCCTGTGAAAGGGTCATTCGACCCCCAAAGGGGTCGCGACCCACAGGTTGAGAACCGCTGTACTAGAGGCTTGGTGCACGGGGGGGGGGGGGGTGTCGGGGGGGGGGGGACTGTCCCCTCAGCCCAGCCCAGCCCAGCCTGCACCCTCTCCAACCCAGGACACCAGGGATCGGGCCTAAACCAGCAGTCAGACATCCCTCTCACAATCCTGGGCCGCTGGCTCCTAATCACTCACCTTGCATGCCTGCTTGGTAGCCCCTAACTGCCTCTGCATGCTGGCCTGATCACTCCCAACTGCCCCCCCTGCCAGCCTGGTTGCCCCCAACTGCCTCCCTCTGCTGGCCTGGTCACCCCTAACTACGCACCCCCCCGGTCCTGGTTGCCCCCAACTGCCCCCTCCGCTGTCCTAGTCACCCCTAACTGCCCCCCTTGCCGGCCTGGTTGCCCCCAACTTCCCCCCCTTCTGGCCTGGTCGCCCCATGCAGCCTGCTTGTTCAGTCATTTGGTTGTCCCTCACTAAACCCCCTGCCGGCCTGGTCATAGGCAGCCATCTTGTGAGGGTGTGAGAGTTAATTTGCATATTACCTCTATTATATAGGACTAGAGGCCCAGAGCACGAGATTCGTACACTGGGGGTGGGGGGTTCCCCTAGCCTGGCCTGCGCCCTCTCGCAGTCCCGGAGGCCCCTGGGGATGTCCGATTGATGGTGATCGGACATCCTTAGCACTACTGAGGAAAGGCTCCCACCACAGCTGTCAGCCCAGCTTCTGGCTGAGCAGTGCTCCCCCTGTGGGAGTGCACTGACCACCAGGGGGCTGCTCCTGCATTGAACGTCTGCCCCCTGGTGGTCAGTGCACGCCATAGCGACCGGTTGTTACACTGTTTGATCGATTTGCATATTAGCCTTTTATTAGACAGGATTTTCCTGATAGAGGTCCAATTTAAATAAGGTTCTTCTGTGCAAAAAAAAAAGAAGATACTTTTGGTATGAAAATTTTCTATTCAGAAAGTTAAGATTAGTCAGTTTTAAGACTCACTTCACTTATTTCCCTCTGAATGAATATAGTCCTGTACCATCTGTCCAGTGTCTGAAAACATTGTTTCCTGAATTGTGTCTGATTTTCTAGTTGTTTACAGCAGGTGAATAAATCTGGTCTTTGTCCTATCATTGCTGGAAATAGAAAGTGATCCTATACCTTTTTCTTACTCTTCTGTGTTAAATACGATTTTTTTTCCCTGATACTAGTAAGTTTTTTGCAAATGGTTTATATTGAGATGTTAGAGCTAGGGTCCAGTTCCAGGCTATAGGAATATCTCCTATGACTGAAGCTTATTTTGTCCTTGCCTTCTCTCCCAGTGTACATAGCAAGCAATAACTACTTTTGCTTTGCTTCCTGCACATATTGCTTATCTGTGTGAGTCCTTATTTAGTCTCATCACCTCTACTTTTGGAACTATTGCAGATTGAGGGAGGCTCTTGCTGTTGCAGACCAGGGATTGAGTGTGTGCACCTCGGGATGTGTTTCTTACTTTGGAAGTGTTCACCACAGGCAGAGATCTGTAAGCAGGGTGACTGTACCCTGTTTTCTCACATACCTTTCATCAGTTTCCACTGATATGTATCCCTTTCACCTGTTATGGTTCAGGTCAGAGGGGGTCTTCTAACTTTATCAGAGTTTGGGATTTTATTTCTTTCCTTGTTGTTGGGTGAATTCCCAAAAGAGAATGAGGAAATGCTGAACTTATGCCACCAATAGTTTTACATATTTTTGTCTTTGATTTTTTGCACTGTGAATATGATGTTCCAAAGTGTAATTATACACACACACACACTCACACACACACTCTAGAGGCCCAGTGCATGAAATTTGTGCACTTGGAGGGGCTGAGAAGTGCATATGAAGGTTTTAGCCTGGCCTGCGCCTCTTGTAGTCTGGGAGCTCTTTTGGGGATGTCCAACTGATGGCTTAGGAGCAGGCCTTAGTCATCAGACATCCTTAGTGGTGCTGCAGAGGCAGGAGAGGCTCCCGCCACCTGCTCGCCAGCCCCAGCCATAAGCCCAGCTTCTGGCTGAGCAGTGCTCCCCCTGTGGGAGCGCACTGGCCACCAGGGGGCAGCACCTGTGTTGAGTGCATATTAGCCTTTTATTATATAGGATGGATAGATAGATAGATAGATAGATAGATAGATAGATAGATATAGATAGATAGATAGATATACACACACACACACGCACACTTTTATTTTTTTTTCTTACTTTGTTTTCTCTGATCTTCCTGGACCTGTTTTGGTGTCTGTCATTAGTTTTGGGAAATTTTCAGCCATTATTACTTTAAATCTTTATTCTGTGCCTTCTCCCTTTTTTCAGTGTCCTATTATGTGTATGTTACACTTTTTGTAATTGTCCCACAGTTCTTGGCTATTCCTCTACTTATACTTATCCACCTGTTTGTATGTTGTCCACTGGAGCCTTGGCATATTGATCATAATTATTTTAAATTCCCACTCTGATAATGCCAAAATTTTTGCTATAGCTGATTCTGATGCTTTATCCCTTCAGATTGTGTTTTTCACCTTTCAGTTTTTCTTAATCATTTTTTGTTGATAGCTGGACATGTATCAAAGGAACTGGGGTAAATTGGCCTTTATTGTGAGGTTTTATATTCGTCTGGTGAAGAATTATGCTTTATTTACTATTTGCTGTAGCTATAAATGCCAGGAGCTAAAATTTTCTTGTTTTTATCTTCCTTACTGCATTTGGATTTTCCTAGAGACTTCTTCTTAGTGATGGTCCAAGGCAGCTCTTTAGTTGAGGCAGTTGTTATACAGGAGATGAGATAATGTGGTGGTAAGATGGGGGAGGGGGAAAGGAAGCATTCTGTAATTTTGTGATTGTTGTTAGTGATCCTTTATCCTTTATCCATAAGACCTTCATATGCACTTCTCAGCTTTTATTTCCCCCCTTGGGTGAAATAGGAAGGCTAGAAGGGGCTGAAGTTTGATATTTTCCTTTCCCTACATGGGAGACTAGAGAAGACTGGAATTGAGTGTTTCTACATGTCAATTTAGGCTTGGCAAATTGGTGTCTCTTGAGAGCATACTTTTGTTAATGAGAACAGAATGCTCTAAATGTATTTCAAAATGACTACTTTTTCCCTCCTCTTCACCCTGATAATCTGGTAAAACTCACAGAAGTTTGACCCCCCTAAGATTGGGACCCTAGAGTTTTTTGTTGTTGTTTTAATCCTCATTCGAGGATATTTTTCCATTGATTTTTAGTGAGAGTGGAAGAAAGAGGGAAAGACATAGAAATATCGATGTTAGGGAAACACTGATTGTTTGCCTTCGGCACGCACCCCAACTGGGCCTGGCTAGGGAGGAGCCTGCAACTGAGATAAATGCCCTGGACTGGAATCAAACCCGGGACCCTTTGGCCTGCAGGCTAGTGCTCTATCCACTGAGCCAAACTGGCTAATGCGGGACCCTAGAATTTTTTATTTGAAGCTTGTCTGTAGTGAGCCTCCATCAATTTGTTCATCACAGTTAAAAATTTCTACCAGTACTGGCACCAGCTGTGAGCTGCTCCTAGCCAGCTGTGATTTTCTGTATCCACTTTTGTGGCTTTCTAGTGTTCAGGGCACCAGTTTACGTCGAGTGACATTACTTCTCTGATGGATCTAAGAAGAGTTGTTAACTTTCTTGATTTTTTTTCTCTTCTTGTTCTGAGGTCTAAATTAATATTTTTAAGTTCTTTGCATATTGATCCAAAAATTAGACATCTCTGCCTCATACTTTTAATTGATCTTTCCCTGTAGTTTTTTGGGCAACAATTTCAAATGGAGTCGGTGTTATTTATGGATATATTTGAGAAAACAGTTTATGTCTTTGTATTCAAAACAAAATGGGATATCAACTACATAATTTTTAAAATAGCATATAGATGATATTGTCTGTCATTGTTTATTATGCCCACCTCCCCCACCACCACCCCCCAAAAAAAAAATCTGATACCACTAGTGTCTGGTTTTACTTTTAGCTCTGTCATTCTGTAGCTCTCCCATTTTAAGCATCTGAGCACTTATGTAAAATGAAACTAATATATTATTTGTCAGTTATACCTCATTAAAAAATATAAAGAATTGTTTCTCTGAATAACTTTAATTTTTTATCAAAAGGCATGGCTTTGGGAAGAAGACAAGAATCTGAGATCTGGCGTGAGGAAATACGGAGAGGGAAACTGGTCTAAAATACTATTACATTATAAATTCAACAATCGAACAAGTGTTATGTTAAAAGACAGATGGAGGACTATGAAGAAGCTAAAACTGATTTGCTCAGACAGTGATGACTGAATGTGTAAAAGTTGATGAAAGGACAATTACATATTTTGATCATCACGTTTTATTTGAAACTTGGTGGTCATTAATCTGTGTTAACATTTTTGTTTAAAGCATTTAGTATTTTTATTTAAGATCCTTTTTACTTGGATAAAATGTAAATTTGTCAAACCTTGATGCTTTCACTACCTCACCCCCAAATCCTGTACCAGTAAAAAAAGATGAAAACATAGTGAGAGAAAAAATATATTTCTGTTAACCTGTTCTGTGTTTGTCTGCTGACTTCAACTCCAGAACATACACATGAAGGTGAAGTTTGTAAATCAGTGAATAATAATGGGCCTTTCACGTAAGAGGTATTGACTTGAATTATGGCCTTGATATAGTAATTACTAAGACATTTGTTTATAGAATGATACAAAGTAATCTGGATTTTAACATACTTAAATTTTCCTTTCAGTAATTTTATATAAAAGAAAAATCTTAACTAGTAATACCCATAGGACAAGATTTGCTTCATGTCTCATTTAGGTATATATATTTGACTTTTGTTCCAATGTTAAAACTTTAACAAAGATGGTTTTAAGTAAAGCTTATTTATAATCTGGTGTCATAAATATTTTCTCTGATATTTTTGTATTTCATTTCTTATTGCATTATACATGACTTTCCCATTGTTCCTGAATTTGTTATCCTATACAGAGAGTGAACAGAAATGTGGGTGATTACTCTGTGCTTCCTGGCTTGATCTGTTTTGTTAGACTGGTTACTGTCACTGTGTTTATTGCAGACATTTTGATACGTCATTCAGTAGCTCTCCGATTTTAAGCATCTGAGCACTTATGTAAAATGGAAGTAAGTGCCAAAGCAGGCAGCATGAGCCAACGTGGACCTGTAAGTCAGCTTCCTCATTTCAGACATGCTGTAAATAAATCTAGGTCGCTAAGTAATCTTTTAAAACAGATTGCTATCAATTCTATAGTGTGGTACTTTCTTATTTAGAAAGAGCGAGGTTAGAGTTAATTAAAACAGATTTTTATCATATAACTTTTGGAAACAAAAAGGGAGAGCAAAATAAATGAATTTTTAAATTTTGTCATCTTAAATCTGAATCTTCTGAATTACTTTTTTAAATTGAAATTTTTGTTGAGATTATTGTAGATTCGCATGTAGTTGTAAGAAATAATACAAAGAGGTCCCATGTACACTTGTTCCAGGTTCCCCAAATATTTTTTTCTATACTTTTTTGTTAAAAGTATCCCAATATAAACTTTTCTAAAACTACAGTATATTACTTGGTGTAGCTTGACAGGGCAGCGCAGACCCTGTACTCAGAATTGTGGTGGTGTCTTTTGACCTGTGTGGTGGTTTAATTCAGAGATTTGCCTTTGTTTTGCCCATTCTGAATTCTCAGCCTTAAAAATATTACCTACAGCCTGCCTGGGGCTAGGGACAGCAGAGGAGGCAGGCAGCAGACAGGCTGGAAATCCTGAGAGGACGATTCATGGGATGAGGGCTTTGAAGGACTGCAGTTGAACCAGAAAATCTAGGCCATGCACATGCCCAGAACTGGACAGTCTCAGAAAACACCTGAGAGGTTTCTAGGCCTCCACCAGTGAAGTATCTTTGGGCTTCTCGTATGCTGGAGGTGAAGTGAAGGCTACAGCACAGGTGGTAAGTAGCCTGGCTAAGCATTGAATGAGCACCCCAACTTGGAGCTAATCTGCAAAGGCAGAATGTCTTGTTTTTCTTTCTGACTTGAGGCATTTAAGGAAACTAAATGAATTATTCTATGTATTCTTGGCTATTTTTTCTTTCACTCAACATATTTATATTATATGTAGCTGTAGCTTGTTCATTTTCATTTCTGTACAGTAACACATATCAGTTATTTACCTATTACGCTGTTGAGCATTTGAGTTGTGGGAATAAATAAAGACCACTCAAAAATGAGAGCAAATAGGCTGTTTGCTCCGCTTTTTTTTTTTTTTTAATTTATTGGGGTGACATTGCTTAATAAAATTATATAGGTTTCAGATGTATAATTCTATAATACATCATCTGTATATTGTAATGTGTGTTCACTGCTCCAAGTCAAGTCTTGCATCACCATCTATCCCCCCTTTACCCTTTTCTATCTCCCCAGCACCCCTTTCCCTCTGGTAATTACCATACTGTTGTCTGAGTTTTGGGTTTTTTTGCTTAACCCTTCACCTTTCACCCAACCCTCCTCCCCTCTGACAGCTGTCAGTCTGTTCTCTGTACTAATGTGTATGTTTCTATTTTGTTAGCTTATTTGTTCATTAGATTCCACATAAATGAAATTATATGGTACTTGTCTCTGACTGGCTTATTTCATTCAGCATAATGCTCTCCAGGTCCATCCATGCTGTCACAAAAGGTAAGATTTCCTTCTTTTTTTACGGCCCAGTAGTATTCCATTGTGTAAATGTATCACATGTTACTCAGAGCTTTCTATAGCAAGGGAGTCAGTCACCATCACTTGTGTTTGGCAGAGACTTGGGCAGGCAGAGTTTTATAGTGGGAAAGCTTCAGAGTGAAAAGGAGAGAGCAGGCCGGCCCTGGCTAGAGGTCACTGGCATGAGAAAGCTGGAAACTGGCCAGCTAGCAGCGGCATCCTGTGTGATTGTTTTGGAGAACATACTTGGCTTTCTCTGATTGGTTCTGAGTTGATAGTGGGGACAAAGAATAGGGGTGTTGGCAGCCATTGACAAAGTCCTGACTGTCAGCGGACTGCAGTACAGGTTTGCTTTGGCGTCCTCAACTGATTGCTGCAGAGTTTGTGGGTCTGAGTTTGTTGTCATACGAAGGTCTAATAGTGTCTGTCTATATTCAGTCTCTCAGAGTTGTTTTCAGTTATTGCTGCGATGACTTTCTGATTTACATGCAGTGTGATATTAAGCATATTAGCTCTTAAACTGAAAAGTTAGCTATGATATTGAAACCCCAGAGCAACCATTTAAAAGAATATAGATAGCTATATACCCAATTGATAAATTACAATGGAATATTAAAAATTATTCAAATCTAAAAGAGCAAAGAGGGAGGGCAAAAACAAAATCACAAGGACAAACAGAAAAAAGAAAGTATACCTGAATCTAACCACATCAGTAGTTACATTAGCCCTGGCCAGTGTTGCTCAGTTGGTTGAGCACCATCCCATGCACCAAGAGGTTGCCCGTTCTATTCCCAGTCAGGGCACATGCCAGGGTTGTGGGCTTGATCCCTAGTAGGGGGCATGCAGGAGGCAGTAGATTGATGTTTCTCTTCTCCCTCTCAAATCAATTAAAAAATAGTTAATGGTGTAAGCCAGAGGGTGGGCAAACTTTTCCTGTAAAGAGCCAGGTACGATATTTTAGGCTTTGTGGTCTGTTCCGTCTGTCAGCTCTGCTTGGGATTAGCCATGTATGTGAGTGGGCATAACTGTGTTCCCATAAAACTGTATTTACAAAAACAGCCAGCAAGATTTAGTCTAAAGTTTGCTGACTCTTGCCTTTGAGTTCTAGGCCTTAAATTTCATACATTTGTCTCTCAGGGTGAGGATTTTTTAAAAATTCACCTTGATTGGTGCTCAGTGGGACCTCTCCATCCCAAGAAGAATGGCTCTCACCTCTGATTCCACTTTCTTTTCTACACATTCTAAAGGGTATAGTCCAGCCGTGGGCAAACTACGGCCCGCGGGCCGCATCCGGCCCGTTTGAAATGAATAAAACTATTGAAAAAAAAGACCGTATCCTTTTATGTAATGATGTTTACTTTGAATTTATCTTAGTTCACACAAACACTCCATCCATGCTTTTGTTCCGGCCCTCCGGTCCAGTTTAAGAACCCATTGTGGCCCTCGAGTCAAAAAGTTTGCCCACCCCTGGTATAGTCCCTCAGTTCTGATTATTCATCAGTGGAATCCTGTTTTTCAGTCTTCAAAATCTCTGGGCTGATTTTCACACCACCTTCCTCCTGTAATGTCAGTGGGACTTGGGGGAGGAGAGAGGGTAAATGTATGTCCAGCTGTCGCCTTCACCTAGCAGTTTCATTTCTGTATCAATATGCTCTTCACCAGATTGCTTACACCTCAGAATGGCCAGGACTTCGCTTTCTAAATCAACTTGCAGTTACATGTATGAACCATCACTAGAATATCTTCAGAGGGCAGAATCAGGTTTATTTTGCATCGTGTTTGCACATACCTAGACAAGATGGCTGATTAAAATTTTCATTCCGGAGCAGAACTAAATTTATTTCTTGGGTTGCGGGCTCGATCCCCAGTGGATGGCATGCATGAGGCAGCCGATCAGTAATTCTCTCTTTTTAAGAATTTGTCCATTTCATCCACATTGTCAGCTTGTTGGCATATAGTTCATAGTAATTTTTTTTACAATCCTTCGTATTTCTATGGTGTCGGTTATTATTTTACCACTTTCATTTCTGATTTTATTAAGGTCCTCTCTGTTTCTTGATGAGTCTAACTTTTCTCTTTTAAATGATCCGGAGTTCTTTTCCCCTTCCTGAGTGTGGGTATATTTATTTTTGTTCAAGTTACTTTCCACCTGCACTTTTGAAAATCAGTCCATTAATATTAAGTAGCCCTAGGGACCATAAATCATTGCAGAGTGCCTGTGGACAGGCCCCTAACTCTAAGGTACTCATTTAAAAAGGATACCAAAGAGGTCTTAAATACTTTAATCTTTAACTTTGAAAATAAAAGTTTTGCTTCTTCATTAATCACTTGGACTACATGTTTCAGTTCTGACCTCATTACTTGGGCTTTGCAAGAATTAATAATAGTTTTGAAATGCTTGTTAATAGTTAAGTCTAGCCGATGAAATTTTTCTCAGGAATAGAAATTACAAAAATATAAGATGAAAGTAATTAATGGCTATGCATTAAAAACTAAATGTAAAAATTTGATTTTATGCATTTTAAATATGCTAAATGTTATGACATAGTTAACCTTAACTACATCATAGCTTTATTGCTGTTAGTCATCATAGTGTCAATTCCGAAGGTTGTTTTGGTGAACTTTTGTTCATTCTCTGACCAGCCCAGAAAATTTGGGTATTTTCTAATCAAACAAGTAAAGAGCTTTTTAAAATGTGAACAGTTTATTTACTGGTATAAAAATTTTAAGTAACATTGAAAATTACCCAGGTATATTTTCAAAAACCTTGCTTGACAAATGTTAGAAATGATCATAAAATGTTAATACTGAACTCTTAACCTTGAGACATAAATTTGTTTATTAATAATTTCTGAAGAATTTAATTTACCACAAAAATCACACAGATGGTTAAATGAATATTTAGTCAAGAAATTGAATACTCTCCACATTAAAATTAAATATTTTCCATCTCTATTAAGCTTGTAATTGTCATTCTGTCATTACATGGTAAGTACAGAGAAATATGTAAATCATTTGCTAGTGTATAATATTTTATACAAATGAATTTCATACAGTTTAAATCTTGAGATTCAGTTTTTCAAAGAAAATATCCTGGATTTAAGATTTGTTAAAAAAGAAAATGAAAAGGGCTGCGCTTTTACAGCACAGTCTTTGGCATAGTCTGGCTTTCCATCAAAGCCGAGTTCTGTATGAGAAGCCGGGCTTGGTTCTGTGGCCGACTTGAAGAATCACTTGGCATTCCAGATGCTTAAGCCACTTCATCTCACTGATTCTCCAATCATAACATAAGACTGATACTCTATGTGTACGAGGCCAAAGGATCTATAATAAAATCCCAGCCTTCAATAATCTATTCCTCTGCCTTCCACTCCAAACATAAGAAAATGACTATGATATGCTATAGAAAATAAGTAGTGAGTTCACTTCAACTAAATTTGACTCAAAGATGATTTTGGTCAGTTTCAGGCTTTAGCAATAATCTTAGGTTCTAATGATGGTAGAATTTTCATAATTGTTTCAGTCATTGGTGTCAAAATTTATCATGAAAAGTATATTTAAAGGAACTCATTGATCTTTTCAATTAACTAGTTCTTCAAAATAAGTATTTTTAGCAGAGCTATTGGATTATTACAAAATGCTTGCTATATCTTAAATAGCTTGTCTTGTAGAAAATTATGTGACATTTTGCTTGAAATTAGTCATTTCAGAGTTTGTATAAGAACATATAAGAAATGTATGTGAGAGTGTACATATATCTGTATACATTTTTGAAAATTACAGAAAAGGGAGGAAAAAATGCAAGATTCAAAGCATGGATACCCTAATATGACAACTTACCAACAAATGGACCATGTTGTAGTAATTCTAGTGCAAACAGATGTATTTTGTGTTGCATGGGCCACCTGTTGAATGAGAAGACTATGTGGGAGGTCAGGGACACAAAACCACAGGACACTTCAGGGTGAGTCCTCAACTGAGTGCTGTGTTTCTTGAAAATTAGCACCTAAATGATCTTTCTCCTTCAGAGTGTAGCAACGACGTGTCTCAGGATCTCGGCCACACCATTTTTGAAGGTTTATGAAGCATTAAACATGACTTGATAGTATTTAGCCTGTTTACAAACAGACTGAGATATTTACCTCGCGGTCTATATAAATATAAAACTGTGCACAGCTGGACAAGAACACTGGTCTACTCGCCGAACTTTTTTCCAAGTTCCTTGACACCGAGGGTTGCCAATTGCTTGCCAGTGGAGAATCTGATTTCTGAAACAATATTTTGAAAGTGTTAGTTACACCTAAAGCAAACTAAAAATTCTAACTTACAAAATTATATACCAGTTTAAAAAAATCATACATGGAGTTTTGAAGTACATTGTAAATTGAAATTTTTAAAAATGATTGCAAACTGAGTCTCCCTTCTTTGGGTTCTATTGAAACAAATTACCAATTACCCTCATTTGAGGTCACTGTATTTGTTACTTGACTTGAGTATATAAAGTGCCACATAAAGGAAAGCGGCTTCCTGGGTCATGTATGTTTAAATTAGAGGGGTCTGAACCAAATCATCTCTTGTAATCCTTTCCAACTCTTTGATTCCATAATGAAAAAATAATGGGAGAAGTAGAAAGAGTAAAGCCAGATTATTGAAATTATTATATTTAAAGTCACTGGAACCTCAGCCAGGGTTTAAGGTACTTTATGGGTACAAATTAAATTAGAAATTCATTTCAAGTCAAAATATGGATGAGGTATTCAGAAAAAGTAATAAGTCTAAATATTAAGTTTTTCTTTCATATGAATTCCTTACTCACTTTACTGTTCATATGGTATACTCAATAATACAGAGGCTGTTAGGCACAAGTGACTAATAAAAGAAAATTCAAGTTATTAAGCCTTAAAACATACTTTGGGAATAATGAGTAACTAGAAAGGTCCATATTTTACTTTCTAATCTGTATTTTTACCAGTTCCATCTGACATACTTAAAAACCATGATCCGTGCCCAGCACTTCTCTTAATTACAAATAGTGTTATCAGATTTAACTGATAAATGAGTTATAGGACTGGCATAGCTTTTCAAGATGGTGAAATGTGTTCAAGGGTCAATTCTTTAGGACAATCTGTAGATTTCTGTAGGGTTATGACCCCAAAAAGCTGAGCCTACCACTACTATCTCAAATCATGCTCTCATGACTACACTAAGTGGTTCTGAACCCCTGCTGTGGAAATGAACCATCTGGGCAGGGGTCAGTGAGCTACAACCCATGGGCCAAATCCAGTCCACCCCTCACTTTTCTATAGACATTTCGAAAGAGCTGATAAAATCAAAATATGAAATTCAAATTTCAGTGCCCACCAACACAGTAATATTAGAACAAAGCCCAGCTCATCAGTTTACATACTGTGTCTGGCTGCTTTTATGCTATGGTGCAGAGTTGAGTACTTGTGACAGAGACCATGTGGCCCCTACAGAAAATACTCGCTGATCCCCAACTTAGGAGATTGTTAAAAATCCACCCCTAAAGGTGCAGATTCAGGCAGGGCTCAGAAATCTGCATATTTTAACTCACCACCCTAAGAGAGGCATTTAATGGTCTTTGGATCAGTTGGGTTTTGGGTTTTGAGGAGCTGGGCCTGGACTCAGGAGTGGCCAGGAGTGGAGTCCCCTCACTCCCTGTGTTGACTCTCCAACTCACACCTGATGTGCCCTGTGCTGGTCATCTGTCATCCGAGGACAGATCTCTCCGAATGAGTAACAAGTCCTTCAACCCCTTTCCCCTGCTTACCCGTCGGAGTCCAGGCCGTCTCCGGAACAGCGCAGGCTTGCAGAGTTCATGGCTGGAGGCTGACAGTCCACACACACTGTGAACCCCTCTCGCAGGTACTGCATCCATCGCGTCAGAGGGCGGTTTTCCCTGGCGCAGTGGTGAGTCAGTGACTCGGTCTTGAACTCCATGCAGTACCTAGAGCAGAAAAAGGAACCATTTCACTCGCTCTGGAGGTGGCTTAGCCCTATAGGAAGCCTGTCGTCCGGGGACGCCTGACCGCCTGGAGCAGGCAGAGCTGCACAGGTCCCACACTGGGCAGCGTGCCCCGTGCCGGTTCTCCTTCGCTGGACTGTGACAACTGCCTTAAACCTAGGCTCTTCATCCATGACTGGATTGCCTGGGCACCATGGGTCTGCAGAAATCCGGATATCCTGTATCCTGTCTGGCCTGACCACTAAGCTGTGTATAAAAGCACATGTCAGTGGGAAAATCGCCCTTGATAAGTTTGCTGACATTTTAAGGAATTATATCAATTGAACAAGAACTTGATTGAGCCTAAGAACATGTGAGTCCCAGGGAGGCTTGTCCTTGACGCCCAGGCGAGCGCTGGTCCCTCAGACACCCCCAGGGCCCTCCCTACACCCCACCCAGCTCATCACAGTCTAGGGTAATGACGGGAGTTTTGACTTGAAGTCAAACATACAAGTTATACTGGACATCACAGATAAAAGGAAATGAGAAGCAGAGTCGTGTCTTTCTGTGACAGGCTAGTGTCACCTGATACCACGCTTGGAAAACTCACGCACTGACTAGAATGAGGGCCCCAGACATGGGCGAATGTTTCAGAGTCTTGTTCTCAAAAGCAACACAATTTTATTCTTTGGGGAAATAAAGCAGAGTAAAAACCCTGAATGTTGCCTTTTAGGTTCTAACTATGCTAAAATGGGCTAGTGGCTAGTGTTTGTCCATAGAATTATGAGCTGTAATCGGTTAGATGGAAGGTGTTTGGAGCATCTGCTTCAAAGAAGATCTCTAGCCTGGCAGGTATGGTTCAGTGGTTGAGCGTCAACCCATGAACCAGGAGGTCACGGTTCGAATCCCGGTTGGGACATGCCCAGTGGAGGACGTGCAGGAGGCAGCCAATCAATGATTTTCTCATTATTGATGTTTCTATCCCTTTCCCTTCCTCTGAAATCAATAGAAATACATATTTTTTTTTAAAGATATCTAACAACGGCGGGTGTCATTCATTAGGTACCTTAAAGTACTGAGGGAGGAAAAGTATGGTGCAGCTCCCATCGACTCCAGACAGCTCAACCCGCCACCTCTTCAATGATGTTCACTAAGTTCTCATAAGAACCCCACGTGGTAGGTATTGACAGCCTCATCTTTCAAGAAGAAAAGGCTGGGGTGACCCGCGAGCGGCAGTAGGGATTTGAACGTGCAGCCACCTGGTGTCCTACTCTGACAGCAGGAGCGTGGACTCTGAGTGAGCACGGAGGTTCCTCCCAGCCTGTGCCATGAGTCTTCCTAGAAACCCCCCGAGTTCCGGCCTGGGCCACTTGCAAGTTCCCCAAAGAGGAGGTGCTAGGGTCCATGGTCCCAGAGAGACTAAGAGGAGCAGCCTTCAAGTGATTGACCGGGATATCACCCCGTTTTTATATAGCGCATTTCTGGGGGGTCAGACCTCAGAGACAGATGCAGCTTTAAAGTCCAACAAAAACAGGGAGGGGACAAGTGCTTTCCCAACTCCGAGGTAGAGTCCTTTTTACCCAAAGGCACTGAACAAGTAACCGGAAACCCCAGCACGCCACGTGGACTTTGGTGGGCTGACGACCATACAAGTGAAAAGACAAGTTGAAAGAAAATCAAATTACCTGGCATTCTGTGTGTCTGTCGGCCACTGCGGGGAGGCAACTTGTCTTGTTCTCTCCTTGTTGAATGCAGAGGTAGTTATGAAGGCAGGGACTGGAAAACAGGAGGACAGTGAACACCTGAGGCCTGCAGTACTCAGGGCAACGCTTCCCAAACTTGGCCTCAAGCCTGTCCACAGCCCTCATTTCTCAAGCCGAAGGCCTGTGGTCAGTGTCCCCAGACCCATTCGATACAGATTTGTGGACACACACGAGTGGGGAAGGGGCTGCAGACCTTGGATAAGCAGGCTTGTCTGCAGAATAACAACACGGAAAGGGAAGGGCCAGTAGGAGCAGCCCAGAGGAAATTAAAGAACAATGCGGGCGGGGATTAACCAAGGAAAAAGTGAGATAATGAAGGGAGAGAGTATTTTTATACATGAAATGTAGAGATAAAATGGGAAAGATCAGAAGAATAAAGTAAAAGAAGGAAGGAAAGAAGACAAAGGAGTGAAAAGGGATGGAAGGAAGGAGGAAAAAAGGACGACCAGAGAGGAAATGAGAAAGGAAAAACGAAAGCAAAGGAAGGAAGTGTGAGTGCTTCCCACATCTGGTAACCACAGCCTGGAAGCTTTACTGCCAACCGCACAGCCCAGGTGTGGCTGCCAGGTGCCAGCCAGTGCAGCCTTCTCCCTGTGCCCTCTCCTCCCCCGTCACTGCTCCCCCACTCCACCCCAACCCTGACGCTCTGGGTGGGAGAAGAGAAAATGAGCCAAGAATTCTTCCCACCTCTGTTCCTTCTGTTAGCTTATTTGTGTGTTTCCTATTTCATCTCTAAGCCCAGGGCAGCACCTGCCCCTCTAGGTAGCCCCTGCAGATAACCACCGATTCCACTCTGCTGTCAACGCAAGGAAAACTGGCCCCTACACATTCAATCAGTGTGTGTGCAAGGGGTCAGTGAGAGAATGAATGAAGTCACCACATTGCCACCAAGGAGTCCTCCTTCCCCAGGGTCCTCTGCTGTACTGAGCCTTGCAGCTGAAATGCTCAACAGCCCTTCCTCCCTTTCATTTCAGAAACGGGACCAACCCAGGAAGAGTAGGTACCGGCTGATGTTGGCGTCTGGGTACCAACGTCATCATCAACATGAGCAAAACGGCACAATTGGGTATCGGGCAAAATTGATGCTTCAAGCCTACATGTTCGTTTTACCTGGCACCTTCCGGCCACAAGGTGGCAGCCCTATTCTGTTCTAGATTTTCTTAGTGAGGCGTCACTTTTAAATTCCTAGGGAATGTAAGACAAGAGTGGCCAAAACCTGGCAGCCACTTGCCCCCAAGAGCTGTAGGTATGACTGTCCCCGTGGTTGGTGCTTGCTCTCCAGCAGAAAGGTCTCTCTGTCCTGCACAAGCCCCAGAGCCCCAGCTGCATGGTGCTTCCTTGCTGCACTGACACTTAATTTTTTTTCCAAAGAGAACGCAACACGTGTTCTAAATGTGACTGTAGCTTTTAAACTTCCAAATCCACAGACAGAAAGAACAACTGAATGCACAATGTCAGGCTCCTTCTCTGTTTGTTTGAGACCAAATTCTCAGAAACAGACATCTGACGGGTTTTGGTTTTCCCACAGGCTGTTTTCATTTCTGTTCTGATGAATTTGTGTGTGTGTTTGCTAAGTGGAGAATGTTTCCTACCAGCAAACTGTAACAGTTTCAGGGTGTGTTTCTTTACTCAAAACATCTACTTGATCTTCTAATTTGTGCTGCGTACATTACCACAAAGTCCAAAGGCACAAGCACTAATGCGAGGCTCGGGAACAGAGGGGCTAGGACGTGGAGGGCAAGGCTAGGACTCCAGTTTCTAATACAAAATCCCAAGAAAAGCTTTAGCAATGATAAAAATAAAAGCTAACAAGGACGCACTGCTAAGTTTCTGGGCACAACGCGAGGCACTTTTCCCAGGTTAGCTCTTTTGCTTCTCAGCACCCTCTGAGGTCCTAATTGTTCCCATTTCGCAGATGAGATCGTGGTGCAGAGAAGGTAAGAAATGTGTTCATGGCTTGTGTTTAAACAGGGCGGTACCAGGCCCTGTCTCCAAACCACACTCCTCATCTTCGTGGTCTCTATTATAATGCAGATCACAAGTTGCACTGTCTTATAAAGCATATTTCCCAGGAAGCATTTACATTCTGCTTCACTTTCCCTCTCTGTCCCTGATCACTGTCTGTATGGGAAGTGACCTAAGGGAGGACAGGGGAGAATTTTAGCCCTTACGCTCTGAGAACCCTTGGGCCAGGGGAAGTCCAGGGGAGAGGTGGGGGCTGTGGCCCAGGAGCTGGGGTGGCTCATATTGGGCGCCGACGAACGTCTGTCGTGGGATGGCACCTTGGACGTCTAACCTCCTTGCTTAGGAAGAGCTCTCGCATTTAGTGTCATGTCACCCATCTTCACGGAGGCTTTGTAAAGAGGTGTTCTAGGCGGTTTTCTCACCACAGAACTGAGGCTGCCCTGGCTGTGTGGCTCAGTTGTTGGGCATCATCCCGTGCACCCACCAAGTGGTTGCCAGTTCAATTCCCAATCAGGGCCCATGCCCAGGTTGGGTTCTTGATCTCCAATAGGGAATATGCAGGAGGCAGCTGGCATAAATGTTTCTCTTTCTCTCCCTTCCTCTCTAAAAATCAATAAAAATTTTAAAAAATTAAAAAGATGAGGCTCACAGAAGTTAAAGGGGAAATAAATAGTAAATGACTGAGCAAGGGCCCCAGCACAGAAGGTGGCTTCTGGTTTTGTAAGACCCACTGCCATGGTCAGTGCCAAGCCCCTGGGGATAGACCCATGATAAACGGTGGCCCGTAACCCTGGACGCTGGGCCCTGTGTCCTATGTGTCCTACCCCCTCGGCCCAACTGACAGGGTGCCTCCCCGCCCAGGAGTCCTCAGCAAGCAGACCAGGAGCCAGGTGGCCTGCAGGTCTCTGAACCAGGACCGTGATCTGCCCCGCAAATCTCATTGTCATTTCTGAGGGGTGGTAAGTAATTTAGAAATTATTTTTGCCTCCAGTCCTACTTCTCCTTATGTGTGGAAGTCCGTCACTGGGTGCCCAGAACAAAGACTCAGTCAATGCCAGTTCCTCCTGCTCTGGCCTTCCTGGCAACAGCATTCGAACATAGATTCTTGGTGACCAGGCTCTGGCCAACTTCCCTGGCATCCCACCAGCCTACCATTGTTGGCTTTTACAACTTCCACTCCTAATAGCGTGGCCCCGCACATACTCCCTTTGAACATGAAAGTAAATTTGATCTGAGAATTTCATAAAGCCCTCGGACACAGTGGGGTGTCACGGCAGCAGGCTCGGAACCCCTGGCCTGTAAATTTAGGTAAAAACAGAATAGAAAGGAAATTTAGCCAACGGCACCGGCCTGGAAGCAGTTTCACATGCACATTCACCTCCCTGCAGGAGGAAAACACACATATGGAACTGTCAGTGTGTGCAATGGATACGATCGTATGGCTTTTGGGTTTGTTTTTAGGATAAACAGAGTCAAAATATGCATTGAATGAAACAGGAAAATGCAAGTAGCTACTTGATCATAAGATCATGTCGGCGATTGTGTTGTATTCACTGGCCTCACGGGGCCTTTGTATTTCTACTTAGCATTAACCAGAATCTGTAGTTGCAATTTTAACTCTAATGGTTAACAGCAAAACAATACCAAGTGTGTGGGCTGGGGGAGCACAGGATTTAGAGCCACAAGACCCAGGTTTGAATTCTGTGGCCCTTCGCCGATGCTGTCACCTCTCTGAGCTCCCATGTCCTGTGCAAACCAAGGATAATGACAGGCAGGACAGTGGCCTCCCCAAAGATGTCCCCGCCCTGACCCCCCCACACTGTGCATACGTCAGGTCCCAGGGCAATGAGGAGTTAAGGTGCTGGTCCGTCAATCCTAAAATAGGGAGAGTCTCCTGAATTGTCCAGGGAGCTGGGCCCGTGTAATCACAGGGGTCCTTAAAAGTGGAAGAAAGAGAGGGGAGTCCTAGGCAGATGCCACACTAGAGCAGAGGGGTAGAGGCGAGCTGTTGCTGTGGAGACGGAAGCACGGCCATGGGGAAAGGGACGTGGACGATGGGAAAGGCACACCTATGTAGCCCCGTGAGGCCCCATCTGGCTTCTGACTTCAGTAACCAAAGAGGATGCCTTTCAGCTGCTGGAGTCACCAAGTTTGTGGCGTTTTCATCTCTAACTTCCTGCGGCACTGACCAAGGTGAGCCAACCACACGAGGGTGGTTGTCTCCAACGTCTCCTGAGTGCCTTGCCATTCAGGGAGGCTGAGAAGTCCCCCAGTTCACCACGTCCTGCTCCCGGTGGGGTGAATAGTTCGTTCTCTCTCTCTCTCTCTCTCTCTCTCTCTCTCTCTCTCTCTCTCCCCTCCCCACCCCCCCTGCAAGAAGAACCCGACCCCACCTTCTACGTTCTGCTTTCAGATCCCCTCAGTTAAGTATCCAAGTTCATCGCTTACAAGTTGTGCTTTCCACATAACTACAGGTCACAGTCCCACTGAGCTTTCTGCCCCTAATGGCAGGGACCCCTTTCCACCAGGAAACGATCCTCCTCCCCCCCTCCCCCGACCCCCACAGAAAGCAGCACAGCTCCTGACTGGCTCGGTTGAGCCCAGCGAGCCTGGTTGGATCATTCCCGCACTGCAGAGGTAAAGGTGCATTACTGTGAGCCACTTCGTTAGTGGTAATTCAGCCGAGGTAGAAAGCACATTCCCTCTCTTACAGGATCGCTTTGGAGACTGAATCAATACTGGCTACAAACACTCTTTGCCACGCAAATGGGAGGGGTCAGTGTGCCATGTGACAAGGGCTCCTGCCCTGCGAACCCGAGGTCTGGGAGGGAGGGGAAGGACACCCACCCAGGTGACCACGCAGCAGGGCTGAGCTGCAGGTAGAGGTGAGCGCTCCCTCACCAATCTGCACGTCCATTGGTCATGCCACTCACCACCCTGAGCTCTAACTGCCTGTGATGTAGTTGTCACTCAAGTTGGCACCTCCACACCCAGCACAGCACTCAGGGAGTCTTAGTAAAACACGCAAATGAAGGCACAGGCACTGGGGTGAAACTGGGAGGCTGAAGACCCCACCCCCTTGGATTTTCACATCATCTCATTTCCCTATTGTGTTCCCCGACAGTCCATCATTTTCCAACGTGATTTCCCCGGAACACTAGTGACTTAGTGAGATGCCCCTTGGGAAAGGGGGTCATTTAGTCAAGTAAAGTGGGGGAAAATCCCCTATCACCTCCCTCTTGTGGGATGAAAATGCGTTTAGCATAATAGAGGTTCTCTGGTAGAGAAAATGGTCCGATTTACCCAATTTCCCTGATGCAGCCCCTTCAGCTACCCATCCAGCTCGAGGCAGCGGCCTGGGGGAACCATGGGCCCATGCTTGGGCCAGAGCTGTGGTCCTTGAACTTGGGTGCGCCACGCCATCCCCTGGAGGCCTCATGACAACGCAGGGCTGGGCCCGGCCCCAGTGATTGTGGGTCTGGGTGGGACCGAGGAACCTGCATTTCCAACAGCTTCCCAGGTGGGGCCGAGGTCCAGGACTACACCTTAGGAACCACCAGAGTGGAATGTTGGAAGTGTCCTGTCCTCCCTGACCAGCTTGTGGCAAGATCATCAATTCCAAGACATCCCAATAGGAAAGTCAATGTTGGAGACATTCACCATTCACAATGTGGGGTAAACCAGACCATTTTCTCTGCCAAAGAACCTCTATTGTGCTAAGTGCACTTTCATTCTACAGGAGGTAAAGGAATGGAGCGGCGGCTTTTCCTGACAGGTCTTTAAGCCGCTCACGCCCGAGAACAGCTTCCTCCTCAGCCTTTTCTGCAGAGTGATGGGCGGGATGTGGCTCGGTCCTATTTGGTTTCTGCGAGCACCAAACGCTTTCCCTGTGTGCCTCAGAGGACCATGTGCCATGGCAGGCGCCCCCCGCCCAGCCCTTCTCTTCACCCCGACCAGGGCGATCTTTGCAAATCGAGACCTGCTCACACCGGTCCCTGAAGAAAACACCCTAGTGGTTTCCCAAGGCTTTTATGATAAAGACCAGAACCCTAGCCAGGGCGCTCCCAGGCCCTGCATTGGGAGGAAAGGGGGAGAGGGTTCCTCCACTGTCCCCCACACCCAGGCCTTCCTTTGGCTTCTACAAAGGGGCCTCTTGTACTTCCCTGTGTGACATAAATGAGCCCTAGGCATTCACTCCCCCATGCAGGCTGAAACCTGATAGCTCCAAAGCCGACTGGCACCAAACTCAAAATTTTACGCATCCAATTGTTTTAAAAATAGCCAAACAAGCAGATTTTTAGCCACTTAGGCCCAGCCTGGTTTGCAGACCCTGTGAAACCACACCCGGCATCCAAAGGCCGGTGAGAAGCTAACGCCTGTGGTTATAAGACCCAAGCTGGCCTGGCCCTGGCCCTTGGCCGCTCTGTGGCCCCGAGACTCCAGCCGTGCTGCTCCGCTGACATCACTAGACACAGGCCCTGGCAGGTCCCTCCCCTTTCCTTCAGGATGGTGGTCCCACCACAGCCTCTGGGCATACGTCCCTGTCTGGCAGCCCTGCCCCAGGACCGCCCGCCCAGCTTATGTGTCCCTGCCGCTCGTGGTCACGTTTTCCCGAGATGGGGCCCGACCTCTCCAAGCCCTTCTACCTGGCTCTCTGGTTCCCCACGCTCACCCCCAATCCTCAGGGACGCCCCTCCCTTCCCACCTCCATGGCTCCCCTAACCCTCAAAGACCAGGGGAAATCAGCTTAACACACACTCTGAAGGCCCACGCCTCTCACCCACGCGATCCCTACCAGCTGGACCAAGCTACAGCTGTGACTTTACGAGATCAATTTCCCAGGATGAGCCGGTGCTCACCTCCGCCTCCCACTGGACAGTGATGTGTCTACATGACAGTGGGCTCCTGGTCACCATTTCTCGCCACTGTAACCCTGGCACCGCCAGGGCCCGCACCCGCAGACTCTCAGGGAATATCCGTGTGTGGAGTGGAAAGAGGAACACAATGGCTTAACGAGCAGGACGCCGACCTGAAATTTTCCAAGTTCCTATGAAAAACATACGCTCTCCTGGGAGTCAGTGCTTTGCTCGGGCGGGTCCCATCCAGATCCAAACATGGGCACCGGCCTCTGCCTGTTTCTTGGGGAGCTTCATGTGGCTCTGACTCCCCAAGGGGCCGACTCCTGGCCCCTCCACAACCACAATAATCTTTTCAAACTACAAATCTGATCCCATCAGCCCCAATCTAGTTGGGGCAGGTGTTTCCAAGAGAATCATTCTATCATCGTTTAGCAGAGTCTCAGGTTTCTACTATTTCCCCGTGCATGCGCGCGCTGGCGACGAACAGGAATGACAGTGAAAGGTGCAATGGACTTACTAGTATCCCTCGGGGACACTCCCTCCCCTGCGTGAAATATCGCCACCGCTTGGCTGAGTTTCTACCAACCACTGAGTCCCAGCACCAGGAGAAGGGGCCACGGCTGGGTTATAAACACACGAGGAAACAGCAGGGCTGGGGCTGGGGACATGGATGCAGCTGACCGGTAACTCCACCCAGCATTTCCTGAACTTCATCATATCTGCTCCCTGCAGACCCGCCCGGCCCAGCCCACTCGCTGCGGCGCTGGAACTTTCCCTGCCCGGCGCCTGGCCCCGCAGGGGCCCCAGCGATGGAAACCACGCAGGACGTTACCGAAGGCGCCGCCGCAGTCCTGGCCCCGCCGCGTCGAGTACTCCAGGCAGCCGGCTCTCTCCTCCAGGGCCGGGCAGGGCGCGCCGCCGTTCAGGGCTTCCTGCTGCACCAGGCGCCGCCGCACGCGGGTCCCCGGCCTGCACTGGTCCGAGCAGCCGCTCCAGGGGCTCCACTCCCCCACGATGCACGGGCGAGCTGCAAAACATGGGGGCACGGTCACCCGGGGAGCCCAGCCTGCCCAGCTGCTCCCTCCCAGCTCTGAGAGGCATCCCCCCACGGGAATGCGCGCTGGCTGAGCCAGCATCCGGAGGCGCCCTCTCAGCTGGGCCCCGTTGACCTTGACCCCCTGCCCTGATGATTAACTGATAGCCGGTGGCCTCGCAGAGGCAGTCGCAGGTTCGGGTCCGGAAGGTGGGTCGGAGCCAGGGACACACCTGAATAAAGAGACGAGGCCTACTTCCTCATACTCCCCGGGCTTAGATCAGATCTTTGCTTGGATTTTTACTTTAGTCTTGATTTTAACTGTTTCCTCCCCTGGCCAGTACTTTTTTATTGTAACAGTAACACACATGCATTACAGTCACCGTAAAGGGAAAAACAAAAGCATAAACAAGAAGTGTTACATCACCCGCCAACGGGCCCATCACCTGCCCAGGGAATTTCAGCCAATGTGTCTGCCGAAGACACAGGCTTAGGGCCACACCAGGGGACCCCTCACTTTAGGCTGCTCATCCTCACCCTCCGCGGTTCATGGACTCATGAACCATGAGAGGTGTCCAGCTTAGAGATGAGCCACCAGGGCCCGCAGAGGTCAAAGCATCGTGGTCACCAGGAAGGGGCAGAGTCAGGCCCAGAATCTGGCTGGAGCGTTAATTCCTGCCCATGACTGTGAAATCCAGGTGGTTGCACAGTTAGCTTTCCCACTGAAAGTCCTACTCTTCTATCTAATAAAGAGGGAATACGCAAATTGACCGTCATGCCGTAACAATCAAGATGGCTGCGCCCACAGCGCAGGAGGGATTCCATAACACAAGATGGCTGCACCCACATCAGAGGCCAAGCACCCGTAATGAGCCTTAACGAGCAATCAGCAGGGACCCAAGGCTGCGCACGACCCCCCCCCCCCACCTGGTGGGGCTTGACAGCCATGCCCCACACCCTGGCACCAGGCTGGGGGACCTCATGCCACACACCCCCACCTGGCAGGGCTTGATGGGGGACCTCAGGCCACGACCCCTGCCCCAGCGCTGGGCCAGAGGACCTGAGGCTGCACCCTCTGCCCATGGGGCTTGATGGGGGACCTCAAGGTGCACCCACCGCCTGGTGGGGCTTGATTGGGTTGGAGCTGGCCGGGTCTGGATCTAGCCCAATGGTCTGAGTCTCTCGCAATTTCGAGGTGCACGTGGGTGGGCGGGGACTTGACTCTGGTTCCCGTGGCGCGCCCCAGACTCTGAAAGGAGGAAGATTTTCCTATACATTTTACTCATTTTCTTTCATCTCTGACACTTCCATTATAAAGAAAGGGCAAATAGCAATATTAAAATATTTCCTCTAATTAATATCCTTTTAATGTGCACAAATTTTGTGCACGGGGTCACTGGTGAGTCTATAAAAGGACTGTATGAGGTTTAGAAATGAATTATTTCAGGACTTGAAATCAGATATAAGACAAGAACAAGAAGCTAGAACAGTGGTTCTCAACCTTGGCTGCACATTAGCATCACCTGGGAATCTTTTTAAAATCCTGATTTCTGGGCCTCATCCTCCGGAAATTCTGTTTCTTTGTTATGGGGTGGGGCCACAACATTAGTCACAAAGAAACAGAATTTCCGGAGGATGAGGCCCAGAAATCGGGATTTTAAAAAGATTCCCAGGTGATTCTAATGTGCAGCCAAGGTTGCGAACCACTGGGCTAGGAGATCTATGTACCTCTGACACCAGGTGCCAACACTCTTTCTCTGCCATGAAACATGGCTCTCTCTCCCCCTCACCCTCATACTCACGAGTCTGCAGAGACCTCACCAAGAAAGCACCCTAGCTTCTCCGAAACCTGGCTTGGACTTCCGCCAGCTTGTACTTGAAAACCCAACTTGCACACTGGAGCTTCAGGCTCTGGGAAGACATGTCCTTTGGCCGCAAGCACATAGCTACCCCTGACTCGAAAAGGGTCCCACCCAACATAAACACCTGGTAGTGACTCAAAAATTCCAAACTGGTTTAAAATCTTTTTATGAATCATCTAAAAACTCATAGCTATCACATGACTCATAGGCCAACCACCTAAAGCAGCAAGAATGAGCCACGTCAGAACTCGTCCCCAATATCCACCACACACACACACACACACACACACACACACACACACACGATCCTTGGAAACTCAGCAAAGGTCGTTTCCTGCTCCCGTCCTCTCTTGTTGGCCTCTCCCTTTTTATCTTCAGGATCGGGATGAAAACGGCCCAAAAAAACCACAAGGTATTTAAAGAGACAGCCGAGCTAGGAGCTGTGTGGAAAGGGCTTCTGCTGTCCTTCATTTTTCAATAAATCTCTTGCCACCCAAACAAATCTCTTCATCTCTGAATCTAGCTAATCCTGCCCTCATGTTTAGACTTGAACAACAGTTACTATTACACTTTTTAAAAAATATACTTGTTGCCTGCCTAGCCAGTTGGCTCAGTGGATAGAGCGTCAGCCTGCAGACCTAAGGGTCCTGGGTTTGATTCCGGTCAAGGGCACGTGCCGGGTTGCGGGCTCCATCCACAGTAGAGGGTGTGCAGGAGGCAGCCAATCCATGATTCTCATCACTGATGTGTCTATCTCTCTCTCCCTCTCCCTGCTACTCTGAAAAAAAAAAAAATATATATATATATATATTCATATTCCACTGTTTCAAATATGAACATTCGGACATGACAGAAGTGAGTAATATGGCCTTGGGTAACACGCACGCCATCCATGCGGTAGAAGATGGCACTGGGGAGAGCTGTATGGCTGAAATTGGTCTCCCAGTGTTTCTTCAGCATTTGTGTCTCATGCCCAATGTCTATTATTTTATTCAGTTTGACCCACTGAAAATCCTCAAAGCACAAAATGACTGAATCAGTCCTTGGCAAGATGCTATGGGCTGTTGTCCCGATAAAGAGAATCCGAACGCTCTGGGGCCCAGAACACCACCATCTCGGTGGCGGGGTGGTAAGACAAAAGGAAACAAGTTTCCACAGAACTACGGCGTTCACAGAGGCTGCTCCACAGAGCATGTTGAGCTGGAAGCTTCATCTGAGCTACTCATTCCTGTTCTTCACACACACACCTATTCTCGGTTAACTTGTGAACTTTTGGTGATTGGGACTGGAAGGCGTCCGAGGTCACGAGCGATCTCTGGTCAGGGAGGCCGGGGGAAGTGCGGAAACCTCTGAGATTCAGTACCGCGAGCCATATATCAGGCTGCGTGACACCATTTCCTTCGGAACTGTCCGGTGAGTGTCCTTGTCCGCCCCCTCTCAGCGTATCCGATTCACATCTGACACACAGCAAATCACAGTCGCTGGGAGTGAGACAATGGAAAGACCCAGAGTGTGAGGAGGAACCGGCCCTTCCTGGGCACCAGCCAGTCCCCCTCCTCAAGCGCTTTCTGGTTGTCAGACGTCAAAGGCCCAGGACGGAAACGTTACGCATTTCAGAGACACATCTGTGCACAAGAGAAGGGCACGTTTCATATGTCCTAACAGGGTATCCAGTCATGGCCATGTCCAGTGACCTTAAAGATGTGTCACTCATCTTCCATGAATGAATGAATGAATGAATGAATGAATGAACGAACGAACGAACAGATGGCTTTGTAAACTTCCTCAGTGGTTTGCCATTGATTTGAAATGAAATTCAAACTCCTTGCGGTTTGTGACCGGCCTGTGCCTGCCCCTCTACTCACACCTGGACCCCCCAGCCCACCCCCCACTGCCTCCGTGCCAAGCTCCAGCCACGCCAGCCTCCTGACCCCTGGAAGACACCGAACTCTTTCACACGCTGGAGCCTTCGCTCTGCCAGGAATGTTCCTCCCACACTGGGCACGGCTGGGTTCGGCTCACCCTTTGGGCCCCAGATGAATTATTTCTTCTTCAGGGAGTCCTTCTCGGCCAGCCCCCTGCACACCCCTCACAACCATTTCCTCCCAGAGCTCTGTGTGCTTTGCTTTCCGGCATCTCCAAGATTCATAATTACATATTATATGCTACGCTTGTTTATTGTTGTTGAGTTTTTCACTTCATGCCTAGTGCTTGGCACTTGGTAAGTACTCAAAAAATATTTGCGGAAGGAAGGGAGGGAGGGAGGGAGGGAGGGAGGGAGGGAGGGAGGGAGGGAGGGAGGGAGGGGAGGAAAGAAGGAAGGAGGAGGGAAGAGGGAGGAGGAAGGATTGAAAGAAGGAAGAAAGAAAGGAAAATGGAAGGAAGGGAGGGAGGAAGGGAGGGAGGGAGGGGACATGGCACTCACTGGGCAAGTCCCTCCTCCTTCCTAAGTAACACTCTCCCCTGAAACAGACTCTGCTCTGCTCACATCATTAGTTAGAAGCCAAAGCGCTGACAGAGACCCAGAGTGGGAAGGACAGGAGAGACTTCCAGAGCCCCAAGCACGGGCTTCTGAACCGGCCCAAAGCTGTGTGCGCTCTCCTGGCAGCGGTGGCTGGGGGTGGGGAGTGGGGGGGTAGGGGTGGGACTGGGGGGGAGGGGTGGGGGTGTCCCTGGAAGGATCAGTGCTTTCTTTTTTTTTTTTTTTTTTAATATATATTTTATTGATTTTTTACAGAGAGGAAGGGAGAGGGATAGAGAGTTAGAAACATCGATGAGAGAGAAACATCGATCAGCTGCCTCCTGCACACTCCCCACTGGGGATGTGCCCGCAACCCAGGTACATGCCCTTGACCGGAATCGAACCCGGGACCTTTCAGTCCGCAGGCCGACGCTCTATCCACTGAGCCAAACCGGTTAGGGCGGAGCAGTGCTTTCTGTGCCTTCAGGTTAGGGAGGTCCCGGCTTGTCCTGGCAGCCACACATTCTTTTCATCCTTCTCCATCCATTTCTCTCTCCTGCCAGCACCACGTCTTGAATGTAACAAGCTTCTTTAATTTTACTACCTGTGGTGTGAAGTGGTTTTTCCTTTTATCTGAGCCAAAATTCCCTCACTCAAGAATTTCAGAATAT